GTTGTTACTACATGTACTCGTAAGTTATAACTTTTCAGTTCGTTCCAATAAATGTTTTATTTATTTATTTTTTTAATTTTTTAGCCTCTAAAAAACTTGGGGTGCTCAACAGAGCTAAGCGGTACTTTGCGCCAGAGCACAGGCTCCTACTTTATAAATCGCAAGTCCGCCCACACATGGAATATTGTTCTCACCTTTGAGCTGGAGCACCTCAGTATCAACTCCTTCCCTTTGACCGGATTCAAAAGAGGGCAGTACGGCTTGTGGACGACCCCAAATTAACTAGCTCATTGGAAAGCCTGGAACACCGCAGAGACGTAAGCTTTATTGCGTATTCTATCGGCTATATAACGGGGAGTGTTCAGAGCTATTTCACCTTATCCCACCCTCTCTCTTCTACAACTGCACCGCACACCACCGAAAGCAATTTTACCCTCACCACCTGGGTATCTGGATCACTTCGACTGTCCGTTGTGCCAGATCATTTTTTCCACGCACTACCAAACTGTGGAACCAACTCCCATCGACTGTGTTCCCGCTTGATTACAACATGGGGTTATTCAATTGGCAGACCAGTAAAGTCCTAAAAAGCCGGCAAAGCATTGGTGGTGCCTCTGGTGCTACAAATTTTCATGGGCGGCGGTAATCTCTTAACATCAGAAGACCCGCCTGCTCGTTTGCTCGCTAATATTATTAAAAAAAAGAATTGAATTTAGTAAGTAGTGTCCGAGTACTTACGAACTTTACCTGTTTAAAATATTAGTGTAGATGGATGTAGAAAAGTATACTTTAATATTATAAATGTGAAAGTTTGTGAGGGATGGACGGATGGATGTTTGTTATTCTTTAACGCCAGTACAGCTGAACGGATCTGGATGAAATTTGAAATACTTTTTATCCCGAAAAAATGTACGGTTCCATTGGGATAGGTTTGGTTTTGTTTTTCACTAGGGACGAACCCAAAGCGAAGTGAGTCGCTAGTATAATATAACAAGGATAATCTTTTGCTGGGATAGTGGTTTTTTTTAAATTTATAAGTACCATTATCCTTTCAACTTTATTTCATTAAGCACTCATTAACATCTGATTAAATTGAGCTAACTAAACAATTTGATATAATTACATAAGTTACTTGGATTTACGTTATTTTATTCAGTTACGTTTAGAAATTCGTCGTCACTGGCGCCACACTACAAGCTAATAAATAGGAGTTCGTTACGGAACGATTTATTCGTAACTCGAGGAGTCGTGACAGAATTTTCTTAGTCCTCGGTTCGAACCTTTATCGCAACTTTTTTCTAGTTATTACTTATTTTCTACACTTTATAAACTTACTTATATAAGTTTTTTTGGAATTACGAGCTCATCACATATGCAGAATATTTTTTTTTATATTAGAAATGTATTTGGTGAAAAGCGGGGTAAAAGCAATGGTGCGACATCAAAGAAAATATATACTTTTGTATTTAATTCAGTTAGTAGGTAGGTATTTACACTCTTCAATGGTGTTTATTGAGTGCACAAGTACCCAATAAACAGTAGCCTCAACATTTGCAGACCATTAAGGTCGAAGTAAAGAGTCATTTTGTCCTCTCTTTCGTACTTCGAAGAGTAATATTTACTTTTTTACTGTGCTATATCTTCTCGATAAAAATCTTAAATTTAGATACTTATAATTAGTGATGTGATAGAAGTGAATTAATTAAGACAAACAAAGCACAGGATAAAATTAGACCGCCGGGTCCAGAAATAAGTGCAAAGTATGTACCTCATTTAACGGGGGTAAGCATCAGCGTGGTCATCACACCCAACGGGACTCGAACCCGCGACCGCTGGCACAGCAAGTAGGAATACTACAAACCGAGCCAACGTGTCGTTGAATTTATTAATATGCTATTACTAGATGTGGTCGTGTACTCGCTTTTGATTCTCTACTCAACTCATGATTTGTACTCTCACATACCTATCTATGATACTTCACCCAAAGAAGATAAGAAGAAAAAGAACACGCCTTTTATAAAATTAGAAATAAATACAGTATTATTTTTAATGTTCACGTATATATATTATATTAGTAGGTAGCTACTCCCACTATAAAACGTAGTACGTGTAAAACGTATACACGTGGGTTAGATGAATTTGGCGATAGACTCATAAAATAGCTATAAATCATAATAAAAACATTATGTTTTCATTTTTACAGTGAACGGTGAATGTTTATAGCGCGCTTAATTTTTCTTTTACGACCGGTTAGCAAAAAGGTTTCAATTTTTATTATAAGCCCTAGAAATGTTACTAGATTGACTAGGCCGTAGTTTAGTTAGACTAATTAATTAAAATTTAGAGCGAATATTTTTATAAAAAAAAAACAAGGCACTTTTCGCTAGTTTTAAAACAAATAATTTGTAAATGAATAATAAGTATGTATTTATTTAATTTTTGAGATACTTTTTTTTTATGGATGTCTAGAATCCGCTATCTGCAAATTAGTATAACTCGTCGCTATTTATATTATAGTTTGTTATATATTATGATTTATTTTTTCTAGTTTAAACTTGAAAATTAATCCTTAGGCATAATACTAAATTTTATTTTTATCCAGCAGTCTAGCAGTAGTCTAGCAGGCCGTCTCCGATTCCGATCCAATAATCTCTTACCTCCTTTGCTCTGTGAAAGAAGAACAAACCAACATATCAACATTCGCATTTATACTATGGTAAAGAAGGCGGATAAAAAGTTTTGAGTTTGACATAAATTGATTATTTTTTAATTAATTTAATCAACTTTATTGAATTTCATTTTATTGTTAGATACTAGCGGCTCACCCTCACTCCGCTCGTGTTCGTCTCTAGTTACGTTTTAATGTTTACGATACATTTCTCAGAGATAAGATGTTTTCCCGCAGTAAAAAGTATTCTATATGTTGACCTGGATATCCAGCTATCATCATACCAAATTTCATCAAAATCCCTCTCGTGGTTTTTTGGGATGCGGTCACAGACTGACAGACAGACCAAAATTCTAAAATCTATAGATTTGGCCTCTGTAGCTAATAATGACTGTTTCAATAAGATTTTCCAAAAAATATTCAATGTACAGATTCGACTCAGAACTTTATTATATGTACAATGTACATAGGTTAGTCAGTCTTGATATTATTATGAAAGATGATATACCTAAAAGTAGTAGGCAGTGTTCCCTATAACTACCGACCAATATCCGTATTGCTAGTTCTGTCAAACATACATATTTGAAAAAAATATTCAAATTTACACTATGCTAATATACTTTATAATATTCAATAAGGATTTCCTCATAAGCCCGAATCACTTTCAGCTGCAAAACGCAAATGAATATGTGACATTTTAAGTAAATCACTCTTTTCAGATTTTTCCGAGGATTTATCTTGATTTTTAGGTCTCGACATTTTAGGAGATACTAATGTTTTAGACATCTCAAATATCATTATATTATACATAGTTATTACAGTAACAACATTAACTCCAAGTAAGAAAAAGGTTTTAAATACTGCTAAACGTTTTGTGACTGTATTTTTTATTTCAATTCTATGTACGAGGTGCATGATGCATCTAATATAAGTATCTAATATGCTATATGTAGTCATAAACATCGATACTAATAAAGGAATGTTTCTTAATAATTAAAATATGTAACCTATTTTTATTCATTTGTGTTATTCTCATATGTAAGGTTACTAAAGTAGAAAACTACTATAACTAATGCACCAGGTCTTTAAAAACTCATTAGGGCGAAAAAAAGTAAGGCTTTATAACAAATGGGCCAGAGTAATGTAATAGGTATGAACTATAATAAGTATATAGCAGTGATTGTAATTGAATTTTGCTATAGTTACATTATGTATAGACTTTAAATTAACTGCATGCTATTTCTTAATTTAATATGTAAGTAAAGAGGATAAGAGCATCACGAATAAATAGTAGGCCACAGTTCTGTAATTTATTTTATATAAAGATTACCGGGTAATATCATGTTTGATTTATTAATCAAACAATTTAATAATTCCAGGATGAAATATGAATCACAACACAAGCCTTTAAAAAAATAAAAGTATATTTGTGATAATTTAGAAAACTATAAGTATGAATGATTGTAAGTATGTTGATAAGTATGTTGATGCAAAATTGTGTCAACATTGTATAAGTATTAATTACATTGGATTTCATTTCATTCGTTTTGTTATGATTTATTGCATCTACATAATATCTTATCTGCCTTCTGTCACTTGATAACGTCAAAATCAATGTGACACTGACAAATTGTCAACAGTGAACAGAGGTCGAAGTTTTAAAGGTTCTTTCGTATAGTTCAGGGTCATTCAAGTTGTATACAAATCACGTGGTAATTCAAATATTGAAGTTGTCCCACTTTACAATAGAGATGGCAGGGTAAAACTTATAAATTTTTTTTAATTCGTTCAATAGATGTCACTGCTGAGACCAGATGAGATGAGTTTTTAAATGTCCGCCGTTGATGATAAAGGTATTTTTAACAATGTGATATTTTAAAAATTTATAATTTTCCCCAAACTAAGTGCCCGTTATTGTGTTTTATCGTTGAGTTGAGCTTATGTTCCTCCGATAAATTCATATGACTGTGATCTCAATATATCACAATTTCGTAGTTAGTCGAACAGAGTTAGGACTCGTTTCTGGCGTTTGGGTTTTTTTTGCGATTTTTTCATTTTTGGTGTGCTCATCAAGAAGGTCAAGGCCCAATTATGCCATCAGACAAGCAATGCTGCGTTCCTGGATGTAAAGAGACTGAAGGTACCTATGTCAAATATATGAATAGGTACCCGTCATACTCGTTTTACTGTCGTAAGTATTATAATATATTAATGTTATTTTAAAGTGTCAATCAATTTTATAGAAATGAAATAGAAATTGGTAATTTATTTTCAGAATTAGTGTTTATATCTGAATGGTGGTCAGGAACAAAGTTGTCCATATACATAAAGAATGATGATACCTAGATACCATGGGAAAGAACATGGCTATCTTATTATGAACCATAGTTATGAAGTAGACTGGCTCATGGGTTGGCACTTCTGTGACGGTATCAAAGTTTTAGGAGTGAGTATATCGATCTGATATTTCTATAAATTACATAAATGACTTTTGTTTATAGTGTTCATAATATTTCAAACTGTTGTTGGTAAATAAAACTACATTCTAATAAAACTACAATACTATTATGATCAAAAATAAATGTAACTAAAAACATAACAATATAATTATTAATAATATGTAGAATATGCTATAGCTAAATATGTATGTATATGTGTATGTACTTACATTTTTTTTAATATATTTTTTGATTTTGTATTAACATCATGCTATTTAAACAATCTTGAGGCTTGTTCATTTTCAAAAAGCAAGCAAAAAAAAGCAAGAAAGCTCCATTCAAGGTATTAAAAAAATAGATACAGAGTAATATTTTCATTGTTTTAACTAATGTTCATGTTGCAATTTATAAAATTCCATAGTGATTCTATGTAGCATTGTTGTTGCTAGATGAATGTAGTTTTAAATAACAATTTAGCTATAAAAATATAACGATACAAAGTAACTAGAAAAATAATTTCTAAACTATAGTATAGTACTTAAAATTGAAAAAACATGAGATCCTTTTTCAAAGTACCCCAGAAAGTACCACAGAAAAGTAAATGTTGTAGCCAAAAGAGTAAAATAATTATATTGATTTTGAAATCTGTTCAGTCATAATATAGATTAGAATGCACAAACATGCAGTATTAATTCCAATAGACAATGTATGTTTATATGTATATTATAAATTTATTTTATACTATATGAATTATATATTTTAATTTTATAATAATTTCTGCATAAACATTCCCTGTACTCAATATATTCAATTCATTTAACATAACTTAAAATAATTGGAATATTTTCATGATATGTATTATAAATTTAGTCAGTTATAACTTATAAACTAGTTAATAACATTAAATATTTAATGGTGAAATAGTTAATGAGTTATACAATATATACTTAATTAAATATTTAGACCTGAATTTGCTAATAACATGGCTATCTCAAAGCTGAGTTTGATAAATGAGTGATGTTAAACATAAATCATAATATAAGTTTTTTCCTATAAAATTTCCATTTAGAAAAAGATAAACAATTCTTTATTTAATTAAATATATAAGCAAATGAACTATCTATTGGCCTTTATGGTTGTTAAACTTTTGTGATTTCAATGAAATTTCATTATGGACATAAATTCCCGAATCCCATTCCAAGTATTTCTATATACTTGGAATGGGATTCGAGGAGCTCTTCAATATAGTTTTCGCTACTATATCGAAGTTCAGATCGAGAAGATGTATCTGTAAAGATATGTATGCTATCAGAAGCTTGTTGAATAATACCGGCGCGGGCGCTGGCTTAGTAGTTTCTTGGCTCAATTTTGCATTTAGGACATCCTTAGACTGTCTCTTCTGTGTCACGGGGCTTATTATTGAGATGAGAATTTTCAGGAGGAAGGCGTCAAATCGAAAACGCGTTATGGATTTACTTGAGGTATCTGTTCCATACGCGTCACCCATATTACGTTCCTTCTGTGCTGAAATCGTTTTTGAAAATATACGCGCATGGCGCATTTACGATTTTTCTAAAATTAATCAAAAGAACAACAATCTTTTGAAAAATATATCATAGCTACATTATGAAATTAAGTTGAATTTGGAATTTGAAGTCAATCGCGAGATTTTGAGCTTCACACTACGTTTGTATTGGAAATCGGTAATTTTGTAAGAGCTTATAGGATGATTGGTAGTTATAATTTATATTGTAATCCCTTAATTATATATACTCAGTCTATGGTATAAGATAATCTACAGGTACATATAATAAAACTGTAGAGGTCGAATGTCTGTACATAGAAAAAAATGTTAAAAGCCGAGTCGGGGACGTAAGAAGAGAAATAGAACAAATCCAGTTTTTTTTTCATTTATTTTTTTCTGTCTGTTTGTCTGTTTATAAGTTCTAATCTCCAAAACTGTTGGACTGATTTAAATGAAATTTTGATGGTGGTACCTTATATCCCCGGTCAACATTTTAAATACTTTTCATCCCGGAAAATCAAAGAGTTCTCGTAGGATAGTTAAAAAACTATAGTAACTTATAAAGCTTAGTACAGAACAACTTATGCACGTAATTTAGTAAAATTTGGCATGCACTTTATATTGCCGGTCAAACAATAGGCTACTTTTTATCCTGGAAAAATATACGGTTCCCGAGGGATAGATTTGTTCATGTTTATCTAGAGGCGAACCCGAGCGAAGCGAGGGTGAGCCGCTAGTATACAAAATATAATCTAAACCCAGTGTAGTTGTAAATTTAATTTATTAGAATGAATAATATTGTAATAACAGCACCATATCAAGTTGTAGCAACAGTTACAATAGTTTGCCGTAGCTTCATGCGATTTAAGAAAATTAAATACATATAAGAAATAGTGTTCCTTTTGAAACCTTTTGTTTTCAATACATATTATAATAAAATTCTAACTAAATCAAATCTGTACATTAAATATTTTTTAGAAAATCTTATTGAAATCGTCATTATTATCGATACAGAGCCGAATCTATAGTTTTTAGAATGTTCGTCTGTTTGTCTGTTTGGGAATGTATAACGAGAAAATCACTGAACAGATTTTGATGTAATTTTGTATGATGATATCTAGTTATCCGGATCAACATATACGAGTAGGATACTTATTACTGCGAGAAAATATCTTATCTCTGAGAAATGTATACTAAACATTAAAACGTAATTAGAGTCGCGCGAATTCGGTTCAGCAGTTTTAAAAACGTATTCGGCAATAAATATTGTGTGTAATTTTTTAACCGTTAAGTATTGAATTGTAGAAATCTCTAATATACTCGTATGTACATAATATTATGAACATGTTCCATTAATTGAAGCAAAGATTATTAACCTTACAAATCTTGACTATTTCTCTCAAAAGAGAAATGAATTCAGTACCACGTAAATTGCACTGTATGAATTGTACTGAATTTTAATTTCAAAATTTGGTTGAGAAAAGTATTATTTTAAATATATCTTTGCTATTGTTAAGTGAAAATATTTGCTAGGAATTAGTCAAAGCAAATGCGATCTTAGCAATTATAAATAACTAGAATTTATTAACTATTGATAATGATAGATCTTACCACTTTTTTGTTTATTATGATAAGTAGACTTCTATAACAACTAACAACTATGTTTATAGATTAGCGGTGTGTCAAACAAATCGATACTTATAAATAACATTAACCAAAAATAAAAAATATATATTATAAAAATAAAAATCCCGACTGCATAAAAGCTAACTAAAAAGATGAAAACAAGTTCACGGAGGAATATACTCGTAGTATTATGCAGTTGGAGACGTACACGTTTCATCCTTGCCGCAAGATTGTATGCAAATACATAATAATGTATAATGTATGTATGTCTCCGACTGCATAATACTATATTCCTTTGTGAACTTGTTTTCATCTTTTTAGTTAGCTTTTATGCAGTAGTTTCTTATTTTTACAATATTTCTTTTTCATTTACAGCTTTTTAGTTTTTGCCAATCAGACATTAGAAGTTATATTTAACAATTTTTTATCTTAAATTATTATAAGGAATACAGGAATTTTATACCTTTTTGGAATCCTTGTTATGAGACCTTTAATATGATACCCATATTGCAGAAAAAGATTTAAAAAAATTCACCTTAAACAATGAAATCTAGCAGCCCGCATATTTTTAATTCTTGCATTAATGAGACGAATCTAACGATACCTTTATTAAAGGAATCCATCGAGTGGTTTGGAAGATATAAGGGAATAAAGAATATTAAAAACAAACATACAAAGATAGGCGCGAAAAACATACGCCTCTCCTTGCAGTCGGGTCGGTCGCACGGTTAGGTCATCCTTCTCCTTTTAGGAAGTTGGTTAAATAAAATAACTCTTTAATATTTTCTTTATTATTCAAATTGTTACAATAAGTAAACACTCGTTTTCTCGCCATATGTGCTATAGGTACAAGTAAGATTCTCATAGTTTACTTTAATATAATCTAAATCCTTACTTATTTAAATGTACTATCAATTATAAAATAGATATTATTTCACGTATAGCACACGTCACAAGTGCCGTTAAATAACCGAGATAATGTTTGCAACAGGTGTTTTTGTTCAGAATATGCATGGCTGAAAATCCAAAGTCCTCCCAATATAAAGCTTCATTATGTTTTATGTACCTAATTAAAATACAAGAAGGTATTGTAATTTGAAAAGAATTTATATATAAATTGCGATTTAACGAGCAGTGTAATTATAGTAACAGTTGACAGTAAATAATGATTTTGTAGTAAATAGGGAAAGAATGACCAAAATTGCATTTTGTTTAAAGATAATTTACCTATTTCTGATGATTTAAACAGTATTAACGATACATTATATATACTTTGAAAGATGTTAAAACTACTAACATTGAGTTTAAAATATTCTAATAAAATTATTAGTCTTCGATAACAATTGTGACATGACTGCTAATCGAATTGTGTTCGTTATAATATATTTATTGAAATAAATACATATACCTACCTATACATATTTTTTATCTATGGCTACTATGGACCCGTTTCATAGCATCATGCAATCTATATACTTAGTTTAATTGTTACTTATATTTGTTATAAGTAAACTTCAATAACGAACAGTATTGATACAATTTGCTGCTAAGTACTATTCTAAACTTAATAAAGCCTTTAACTTATTATTATCAATATAAGTTTTACAATAATGTATGGAAGTCTGCCTGATTTCTTGACATGATTACTGCAATGCACTCCCTTGGGTAGTAGCATAATGATATACAAACCTTATAGTCTTTTTCAATAAACCGGCTATATACAAATAATAGATTTTTCAAATCGGATTAATAGTTCCCAAGATTAGCGCGTTCAAACAAATAAACTCTGTATCTTTATAATATTAGTATAGATAAGATATTAAATGAATTGTCAGTTTGAACAAGATGGTGAATCTTAAAAGTTTATGTTTACAGAAAATATACTAATTATACGTTTTTTAAGATGAATGAACTAATAATTTGTATCATTTTTCTTTTAGAACTGTAAAGCCTATGCGAAAAAATCAATACAGTATTTACCACCTATTGGTTGGATATGGAAATTTTCGCAGAGCAGGGAGCAGCCGGGACATCGACGCAAGAATCTTCATTCAAGAACCAAAGGAATAGTCAATATATATGAACCAGCAACATCATGGTAAGCAAGCAAATAGATGTTTATCCATGTACAAAAATAGTTGGGGTTAATACTTACTGTGATAATTACCTGCATTAAACTAAATCTTATTTTTACAGGGGAGCACAGAGTAGCCGGGGTATTGAGGCAAGAATCTTTACTCTAAAGAACCAAAGGAATAGTCAATATATATGAACCAGCAAAATCATGGTAAGCAAGCAAATAATATTTTTAATTTCGAGGTGTTTATCCATTTAGACATATAGTCGGGGTAGAAATATACCGTGATAAGTATCTGCATTAAAACTACATCTAGATCTAGTGATAAATGTGCTTAAAAAAGACAAAGACAACAGCTACATAAAAAGTTTGATTTGGGCACTTGCGACCTATGTACTATAAGATGTAGCAGATGGTTTATTTACTAAGTCTTATTTTCATTTTTACAGGAGACCAGAGAGCAGTGGGGAAAACTATAATGAAGACCCAGGCAACCGGGGCAATAGATTAATCCCTAAAGTGTGCATTTAAGGATTAATCTGATGGCCCTGTTACCAACATCAACAAACCACATCCAAAGAAAAGCAAATTTAATAAAAGTAAAATTAATGTCTTTAATATTAAGCCATACTAACACTTGTGCTCATGAATGAATTCCCTCAGCAGAACCCGAACCCGCGACCGCTGGTATAGCCAGTAGCGTCACTACAAACTGAGTCGAACTTGTCATTACGCAAATGAAACTTAAATATTTTTTTTGTGTCCTTTATGCTATAAATATATTAATGACTGGACCTCGCTTCGCTCGGGTCCGTCATCATATCGTTTATATGTTAATTTATGTGTTTACCTTGTTAACCAACTGCCATCATCCCAAATTTTCATTTAATCTGTCCAGTGGTTTTCGAGTGATTTGGTCACAGACAGACAATTTGTAAAAAATTCGTCCTCTGTATTGTTAAATTGATTAACAAAATATTTAATTATAGATATATAAGTTAGAATTTTGGTAAATGTATAGATAGATACATTTTACTCATTGTTTCTGTTATTTTTTAATTAGATGTATAAATATTATTTTTGTTTTAGTTGTTTATTTTTCTTTTTCTTGTTTTCTGCTTCTTATTTTTTTTTGTTATATGTGAAAACTTGATTGGTTTATGTAATGTCTTGTTATTATTTATTTAATATCGTGCTATTTGTGGCATATGCCATAATACAGTTCTCCTAGTACGGCAATAGAGACTACCAGACGGCAGACCTTCTATGTTGACAAAAATATAAAATCAGTAATGATTGTTATGTATATATATAATATGTTTGTTTCTGTATTTAATATTGTTTACTGTAAATATTTTTTGGTCATAAAATATTATAATTACCATTATTAGCAGGTGTATAACTAGTGAAATGATGGTAAAGCATTTCCAACTTTGTAAAGTCTACTACTAAGTTAAGTTAGTTGAAGGACGATGTCTATATTTGAATTTTATTGTTATAAGAATTATTAATGTTCAAATAAATTATAATACATCATATATTTTTTTTATTTTTACCCTTTGCGCCTAAGTAAAAATATTAATGAACAATAATATTAATATATATATAGCTACGTATATACCTATATAGAAAGTTTCACACTTTACAATAGAGATGGCGCTTTTTAAGCATTACCAGCTTCGACGACGAGTTGTACCTCTATTTATATATGTAGCAATATACGTAGCAATATACTCTATGGTATAGTTATTTAAAAAATTATAATCATCACTCACACAATATAAATAAACTTATGATAAGACGAAATAACAAGGCCACTTTTGCGTATTCTTAGGTATAGATAGCGTAATTTACACATATGTGTAGATAGTTAAAAATATTTTAAACTTGATTAGTAATGTATTTAAAAACTTTTTTACTTAGGTAAGTTATCGCACTTGTGTTTAATTTTTTAAATAATGTTCATTTAGTAAAAAAAAACTAGAAACTTTATAAATTGATAGCTACAAGATTGCAAGTTACCTAAAGTCTATTAATCTTTTATACGTATTAACGTTTATTTATGTAATTGTTATTGCAGAAATGTAATAAAACAATGCAAAGTTAAATACTTTGCACCTGTTATAACTCACAGTTACGATAGAAATGAACACACAAGACACCAATGGAACTGCAAAAAGAATGCTACAATTGGTTTATTAGGCTCTGTTCTTATTGGATCTGCTGTAAAAGGTAAGTTAAAAAATATATATTTTATATATAAATTACTAGCAACTCACCCTTGCTTTGCTCGGTTTCATTCCTAGGTTGATTCCCTATACAAACTTTTATCCCCATTTTCATCCCCTTAAGGAATGATTTCCTGGATAAAAAGTCCCCTATGTCCTTCCCAGAGTCTCAAACTATCTTCTTACCAAATTTCATCTAAATTGGTTCAGTAGATTCGGTTCATCCATTCGGGAGCTATGATACCACATACACACACGCACTTACAGACACATCAAACTTATGACACCCATTGTTTTTGTGTGGGGGGTTAAAAAACAGAGTAACTTTCTATTAGTGGAATAATTTTAATATCTCTAAAACAATTTTTTTAAATATTTTAATGTTAAATTAAAAAATGTGTATAATGTCAATAATAATAGTTGTAATATAAAATTTACATTGTGGTAAAGCAAAGATTTTTTATGTATCTTTTCATTTTACCAGATTCCACCAACTTAACTTTAGAAATCAAGTTGTTTATATTTGAGAATGAATTTTATGATGTTACATTGTATTGAACTTGTGTACAATATATTTTAATAGAGTTGGTTTTATTTATCCTATAGTTTTCCAAAACATCTTATACTGCCTGCTGACATTGTGGATTTCCTTACACTTTTTTTACCATATAGATTGTCTGTACATACAGTTTAATTAAGATTGCTTGAAAAAGCTTTAAGTACCAAAGTCAACTTGAAGAATTCTAATAATGTCAACTTACAAAAATTACTTAAGAATTAGCAATGTTATCTTTGTTACCTTAACAAAGAAATATGAAAAATCTAAATTATACAAAAATTATTATAAATCTATATATAATTTATCTACTCTTAGCAAAAACATATACACTACATCACCATCTTTTATCAACTTACACATGATCAATATTTATACCACATTTATTACTCTAGATAAGCAAAAGGTAAACAATGAAACAAAAGAAAGTGTACTGGAGGCTGGAGAAAAACAACCAGGCCTACCAACCTACACAGCTGATGAAGTCAGCAAACATGATAACAAGTGAGTTGGTATGAACTAATATATTATCTATCATTAATTTTTTTTCTGTGATTTATACCAGATATAAAAGCAGTCACAATGTTTACAAATGGAGGAAAATATTAACAAACTTTTATATCTTCATTATTAATTTTATAAAGAAATTAAGTTTGTAAGTTTGTATATAGGGGATAAACTCTGAAACTAATATTCCCATTCTGAATATTATTCTTCCACTATTTCGAAGCTACATACATATACTGGCGATTACTATAGCACTCTCCAGTAATATAATAAAACATAGCTTAGCATATATACAAGATACACATCTAGCGTCTCAGAGTATCCTAAAAATGAAGCGCACAATTCGATTTTATGCGCTCTATTACTCGAGCGCGGCAGAAGGAGGATAATTTTTTTCGAGTGTATGTACTCGTATGTATGTACATATATTTCCTTAGCATGCTTTATAACCTAAACAGCTTGATGGATTTTAGCTTGAGATGTGTTCTTAGATTCGTTTAATTACTAAACAGCTTAAAACCGATATTGTTGATTCATACGTCATTCGATTATGTCCGATTCTATGCTCCCTCGTAATTAATAAACAGCTTAACCGATTTTGTTGATTCATACGTCATTCGATTCGTCTTGATAACGCGAGTATCATAGGCTATATGTTATTTTTGTAAATATTTTCTGTGTAGTTTATTTATTAATCAAAACATAATGTTGCGCGTTGCCAGGATACGTCGATACGTCGCGTGTCACACGTAGAATGTCGGTGACGCGAACGCATAAGTTTTGCTCCTACCAAAAATCGCTCTACACGGCTAAAGAAGTTACACTTAAAAACATTGTTATTCTAAAGTTTTTACTTCTATCAGCAGTCCCCATGAATGCTTATTTTAATTTTTATATTTTTATAGAGATAGCTTCTGGGTCACATATAGGCATGGTGTATATGACGTGACGTCATTCCTCCCCTCCCACCCTGGGGGGGAACAGATATTAAATGCAGCTGGACTTAGTGTTGAGCCATTTTGGAATGTCTACGGAATGCATAAAACTGAAGAAGTGTACAAATTGTTGGAATCATATAGAATAGGTGAGGCAACATAGGTTTTAGTATTTTCTGTATTTATACAGCAGGCAGTGGTAGCCTAGTGGTAACCCGCTTGCTTGAGAATCCGAATGAAGCGGATTCAAATCCCGGGTCTCGCACCTCTGATATTTTCATGTGTGCGAATCATTTCCAACATGATTACCACTTGTCTTACAAAAAATTTGTGAAGAAAAACATCGTGAGGAAACCTGCATGTCTGAGAGAACCCAGCAAGTTTTCGAAAGACATGTGTCCGCCAACCCGCACTTGGCGAGCGTGGCGGTCTATGACCTGCCCCTTGTATTGAAGGTAGGCCCGTGCCCAGCAGTAATTGTTGTGAAATTGGCTTCAATAATTCGGGAGGCGCGGCCAGGCCGGTGGACACCGATGACTCACTATTTTCTTACGCGAATGAACTATAGTCAAATTTTATGTAGTTAATTATCTACCATTATTATTTTAGCGAAGTCCTTAAGACATTTTGAGTTTACATTTTAGGAGTAATTTAATTTTTTTTACATATATCACAGTTTTTATTTTTTTATATACATAAAATTAGTTAAGATAACTTAAACCCTATTTATAAATTTTAATGTTTTACAATTTTTTGCCCTTATTTTGTAGTCACTTTATCTTCTTTTTGTATTAACAGTGTATGTATGTAATTTGTTGGTCAGTGCTATGGACACCTGTAAGAGACTAACATACTAGAACTTGTGTATTAAGAATGAATTTAAAATGTATTTGTGTTATGTTGTTGGTGTTCTTAATAAATTAAAAAAAAAATCTGTCTCATCAGTCTAGGTTCTAAACTTCGGTTTCAAGTTAAATTCAGTAGCAAGTTAGTTATATTTTTTTAAAATTACCTATAGGAATTGGTTTTAGTATACCTATATTTTTATTACTAATTTCAGGCAACCTTCATGATGATGATGTGTTGGACCACAGTGACGATGAACTATGGGCAAAGGAACCTTACCGTGATAAGAGATTGATTATAAAAACTGCCAAGCCCTTCAACGCTGAAACCCCACCTGAACTGCTAGTTGAAAATTTTTATACACCAAAGTAAGTTAAACTCTATTTATTTGTCACTATTGACCTATTACATATTATATATTACCCATACTTCGTTCGGGTACTACGTACGGATCCCTAAGTGCGTTTTAACGGTTAGTATGGTATAGAAAAACTATGTGAAAACAAAAACAAGTCTATCTTACGGGAACCATACATTTTTCCGGGATAAAAATCTCCTAAGTGCTATTCCAGACTATAATCTATATGTGTGCCAAACTTCATCCAGATCCGTTCAGTCGTTCTAGCGTGATAGAGTAACAAACATCCATTCAAATATTCGCATTTTATAGTGTTGATAATGGGATTGTAATGCGATTTTTGACATATTTGTAACATAATAGTAAAATATATACTTTCACAGTGAACTATTCTTCGTCCGCCAACACATGCCAGTGCCGGACATCGACCCGAACACCCACAAACTGAAAGTGACCATAGTTGGCGACACCGACAACGTGAAGGAGTTCTCTCTAGAAGACCTGAGCATGTTCCCTACGGAGACGCTGGACGCGGCGCTCATGTGCGCCGGGAACAGGCGCACTGAAATGAACAAGGTTTGATTTACTAAAGTATAGTATTTTTAGTACTAGATTTTGTCCGCGGCTTTACTTGTGGGGTATAAAGTACCCGGTGAGGGTTTCCAGCCTGAAGGAATGACAAATATTAGCAATCATAATGGTCTAAAGATCCTGTCACAATTGTACATCATTTAGCAAGGTTATTTTGAAAATTAATAATCTATTAGAAAGGTTAATAGGTTTATTTTTTTACATTCATAAGGAATATTTGCCTTTTATCTACAGAACAAAGCTCAAAGCCATGGGTCTTATATAACAATAAATAAATGAACTATTGAATGAATGAATGAATGAATGTGAACATAAATCTGATGCTTATATAACTGTAAAACAACATGTATGTTCTATATGATATTGGGGAAGTAATCTGTGTTTAATTGGCACGTTTTAAAACTTATAGTAAGAAAATTGAATAGAATTGAACACTATGTGTGGCAGTGTATGTGAGTTGTGGTAACTGCTTTGGTGGTCTAGTGATTAGTAAGTACGGTTGCACATGCTGAGTTCCTGGGTTCAAGTTCCAGGTCGTGCTAAGTGTGATTACTCAGTTTTTCTGTTAAGATATTCTCAGTAACAGCTCGGAGTTAGGAAGCTGGCGATGCTTCACTCTCGTGCTTTCGAGAGTATGTGTTGCGTCGGTCCTGTGCTTTAACTCTGGTGAAGTGTGAAGTGTTTATATACTAAGTAATGAAAGTATAGTACGAGTATAATAAAGCGTATATAATATAAAGCATTATGTCCAATGTAAGCTTTACTTTCCATAAAGCGATCATGTATTTTCCCATATATGGCGGAACATTCAAGCCAAGTTTCCATTATGAGTGTACTCGATATATTATTATTATTAAATATGTCTCCAATCGTAGACGGCGTTTACTTTAAAACCCAAAACTAAAAGCCGGTGGCTGAAATCGGTCGGGCGGATATTATTATAATAGTGATAGTGTCGGAGCAGGTGCGGCCGGTGAAGGGGCTGGGCTGGGCGGCGGGCGCCATCAGCAACGCGCGCTGGCGCGGCGCGGCGCTGCGCGACGTGCTGCTGCACTGCGGCCTCGACCCGCGCCGCGCCGACCTCGACGACCTGCACGTCATCGTGAGTCACACTGCTACTGCTGCTTACTCAGCCGCGGGTTCGAGTCCCGCTGGTGGCGTTCATTTGTGTGATGACCACGAATATTTGTACTCCACTCACCCACTCGGGTTTGGGGGTGTGGGGGGCAAAAAGATAATATTTTTGTTTATATTCGTTTTCTAAACGTCGCGCGTCGAGTTTTTTTTTATTGTTATAATTTACTTTTTTATCATTAAAATTTTCACTTTCTCAAAGGGCTCTACATTTTTTTGTGCTCTCCATATGGCTTAAGACGTGCCAAGAAGTCGTAGAATGAGAATAATATGAATTAACTACACGAGTACAGCTGTGGGTAATAGTTATATAACATAATAATTACACTACGGGACTGAAAGGCGCGGATTCGTTAGTGGCTATATACTTTATTCGCGATGTTTCGGCCAGCCGTGGTCGCGGGCGAACGGCCGTGCTATAGCTTCAGCAAACGAACAGTTGACAGGCGCGGACATCGACGCGACGGGCGAGAACTTCTCCACGTCCATCCCGCTGCGCACGGCGCTGGACGCCAACGCGCGCGTACTGCTCGCCACGGAGATGAACGGCGCGCCGCTGCCGCGCGACCACGGCGCGCCGCTGCGCGCCATCGTGCCCGGCGCGCCCGCCGTGCGCAGCGTCAAGTGGCTGCGTGAGTACGCTCCACGCGTCACGTCATACATGTCATGTCACGGAACACGTCACGTCATTGCATGTCATGTTACGGAAGGCGTCATGTCATTGAATGTCATGTTATGGAACACGTCACGTCATTGAATGTGACGTTACCGTATAATTCATTCTATTCTATTTCTAGTTGCGGTACATGTTTCATCTATCTACATATGTTGTCGTACGTGTCATGTAATAGGGAATATGCGTGTGATTTAAATAAAAGTGAAATATTTTTTTATAATCTTTATTGCTTTTGAATTAAGCCTATATCAATATTTTTAATGTCATTTCCTTTTGATTAAGAAAATAATTATTAAAAAGAGCAATAATTACATCGCCATCAATCAGACCGAATATATATATATCACAAAAGTGAACTATGAACAGAGTCAATAACGGTGTCGAGGTCCGAGAGCTCGTCGCACTGGCACCAGCGCGACTACCGGTCGTTCAACGCGTCCACGACGTGGGAGAGCGCGGACTTCCCCGCCGCGCCGCCCGTGTACAGCCTGCCCGTGACCGCCGCCGCCTGCGCGCCCGCGCACGGGGACGCCGTGTGCGCGCCCGGCGGCCGCCTCGAGGTCAGGGGTGAGTCAAGGGGAGGTGGAGAATGCTCATGTACAGGTCAAAAGTGAGAGCGGAGAGACATCTAACACCTCAGTCTCTCCCGTGACTATGATTGCTGTAAAGCATTCGAAACGTCGGGAACCAAAAATTAAAATAAATTCGCGAAAAAATCCGAAAAGATAGTTTTATTTAAATGTAAAAATTGACGATTCAAATGTGTTTGTAAAAGTTTATTTGAAAGAAGTATATTTTGGATTTGATTTGATTTCCAAAGCATCAAACATGTACATATATATATTGTATTACCAACGTTACACATCTAATCAATTTTTCGGCTTAGGAAAATATCGTGAGGAAACCTGCATGTATGAGAGAACTTAGCAAGTTTTCGAAAGACTTATGAAACCCCTCAACTCGCACTTAGCCAGCGTAATGGATTATGGCTTGACCCCCTCGTATTGAAGGGAGGCCCGTGTCCAGCTGTGGGACGTTAAAAAGGGCTGAATAATATATATAATATTGTAAACAAATATTATTTTAAAAGAGCAATTGATGATTTTGTCGCTGCCTCTTTTAAGTAAAATTGCCTCTCTAATATATATGTAAAAATGAATAAATGATTTATAAGTCCTCGTAAACTCATTTAAATCAAAGTATATTTAGATTTGATTTCCAAAGCATGATACATGTATGTATGTGGGATGGAAATAAAAGGCTAGATTTGCTTATGAGAATTTTAAATATTTTTTTTTACGCTGCCCCGATTGCACCTTTCGAACGTATCTGCAATCTCTTAAAACGCCATTGCTATTCTAAAACGACAAATCACAATCGTTCTCGCTATACGCTCCATTTGAGGCTAATTTTAAAACCCTACATGTATATACATACATGAAGGAGACATACGAACGCAGGGTACGCGTACTCTGGCGGCGGCGCGCGCGTGCTGCGCGTGGACGTGAGCGCGGACCGCGGCCGCTCGTGGCGCGCCGCCGCGCTGGCGCCCGCGCCCGCCGCCGGCGCGCCGCACTACGCGTGGGCGCTGTGGCGCGTGGCGCTGCCGGTGCCGCCGGACGCCACAGAGGTGAGGGGTTCACATTTTTTTTGTCCTTTGAGAATACCCATTATGAGGTACGATGCCGACCGTCAACTGGCAGGGTACTGTAAAACTCATATGCACTAAAACCCATAGCGGAATCGTTTGTGCACATAGCACAACACACCTAAGGGACGGGTCGGTTTCTACGCTATCACCATACACTACCCATCTTTATAGTCATTTAACGAAAGCGTCTAAAACAATGATCCCATGAAGTGAGATGCAACTAACTATCATACTTTTATATAACGTGCCACAAAATGACACTCAGCATTTAAATTATGGAGCGTAGGAGTAAGAAGTACTATCATTTTAAGAGAAACAAGTTAAAAAAATGTCCACCTGTATCCTGAAAATAGACGGTGCTGGCGTACGAAAAACTACGATATTAATTTGGCTGTGGTAGACGGAGGGGCCACTCTTATTGGACTCATTTTAACGGGTACTTTTTCATCGCACAGATAGTATCCACTCCTTACTTCTATGCTCCATGACCTTAAATAAGAAACTATCGATTAATTTAGAATCCTGATAGATTATGAACTGGAGTGACACAACTGTTAGGCATTTAGGAAGGCACCCAAGTTAGCGACGGTGAGTCGCTAGTAACAATACAATTTACTTAATATTAACTAGTAGAAATGTTTAGTTTTCCAATTATAATTACAACAAATTGTAGCCATATTAAAATATTCAAAGACTTGTCGGCGTCATTTAAAAACAAAATTTCATATAATTATGTTCGCAGGTGGAGATTTGGGTGAAAGCAACTGACAGCAATTTCAACACACAGCCGGAAAATTTTGACGATATTTGGAATATCCGAGGCATTCTCGCTAACGCGTATCACAAGATCAAAGTTAATATTAAACAATAAGTAAGCAGCTGTTTGAGCCAAGATGTCTACTTATATGTTAAATATTTCTCCGATAGACGGCGCTGTAGTCAAGTAATTAATGATTTAAACATTTATTTATTAATCTAAAATATCTCGTATTTATATCAATGTTTTCTTTTCCACAAAATCTGAAAAAATCATAAAATCTAGAATATGTAGATACGAAGTATTGTTTAATATGAATCGTGTAGTTATTATTAAGTAATTAAATTACTTTTCTGTCTGTCTGTCTGTCACAACTCACTACCCTCTTTCTCAGAAACGAGTGAAGGTATCAAGTTGCAATTAATATCAAATACTCAAGTCTGTGAACAAATCAAACTTCTAAGTCAAAGCAATAAAAAAATATGGTCGTATATGCCGCATATTTTGACACTCTCAAGGGAATCAAAAACTATAGGGTAGGTACTCTCCCATTGACCCAGGATCATGAATTTGGCAAGAAGCAATAGTCTATAGCACAAGTAAAGGGGAAAATCCGAAAACTGTAATTACATTACAAAAATATTTTTTTAATTAAGATTATAAACTTATTTTATTATTTCATGCTACGAAACCCTCGGTGTGCGAGTGAGACTCGCACTTGTCCGATTTTTATTCTTAGGGATCATTGAGCGAAATAAATTTCTGTGGTACAGACTATATTTTAGCATAAAAAAACTCGCCCAAAGGGCAAAGGTTATAAACCTCAAAAATTATTTTACTCGTATAAAAGGCAACATATTTTTTATTTTTATTTTAATTAATATGTAAATCAAATATTTTGTTGCTTTATACAAAACAATTTTACTCCATAAATATATTATAGTTATATCAGTTTTTGTTTTATTTTTAATAGGAATAGACTTAAAGACCGTTCGTTTCGTTTTCTCTATCATTTTAGGATTTAATAAAAAACAAAGCAAAATTAAGTCAAATAAAAGTAAATGGATGGCATTAGGGGAAAGGTGTACGAGATGATCCGTTGAGGTAAGATGAATGCAATTTTTGTTGTAGGGCAAGATGATTAGGTTGTTGGTGTACGAGATGATCCGTGCGGATCATCTTGCACCTAACACATTGTTTATTTTACTGACTTATATCCTCGAGTCTGAGCCATCTGAAGAAGAAGAAGATACAGAATGTCTACTTTGCACGGAAACAATAACATGGGTGAATTATGGATAAAATTGAATGTCAAAAATGGGGTCATCTTGTGCGGGGATAGATAGTGATGATTCTGATGAATTTACTTGTGATTTGTGTGTAAGAACACCAGGACAGATTTATTATTAAAATACTTGCTTAGTTTAATTTAAGCTTTTTAAAATATAAGTTTGTATAAGATTATTTTGATCTCAAAGTTCAGTAATACCTAAGATTACATAAATAAACACAATTGTAATTTGAATAAGTTGTATTTTTCAAATAATGTTACCAAAACCCACAAAATTCATAAAATAGTTAGGATCGTTACATGTGTTTATAAAACTGTCTTATAATTAATACTAGCGACTCACCCTCGCTCCGCTCGGGTTCGTTCCTAGAAACGTTTTAACGTTTAGTATAGATTTCTCAGAGATGAGATATTTTCCCGCAGTAAAAAGTATCCTATATGTTGACCCAGAGCACTGTCAAAATTGTATCATCTTGGCTCTTATGAGACAAAAAAATACATATAGATACAAATACATATACATAAAAACCTCCTTTTTGTATCATACATAGGTATCTACTATCTAGGTACGCATTATCATGTATAAGATAACCTTACTTTCCTTGGTTATGAAGTCAAAGTATTTTTGCCAATGAGTCGACCATTAAAAATACATAAATTAAATATTTAAATATATTGTATACGTGTATATATGTATACTAATATTATAGAGGTAAAGTTTGTGAGTTTGTGACGTTGTAGGGGGTAATCTCTGGATCTATACTAAACCGATTTAGATGAAATTTGGTAAGAAGATAGTTTCAGACCCTGAGAAAGATATAGAATACTTTCCCAGGGTCTGAAACTTTTAATCATTCCTTAAGGGGGTAAAAATGGGGATGAAAATTTGTATTGCGAAGCAAGCCAGGGACGAACCCGAGCGAAGCGAGGGTGAGTCGCTAGTAAAATATGAATAATGAGATAACAGGTGCTATGAAGATTTTTATCTATTATTTGCTTTTAAAAAGATATTTACGTATAATATACCTACAGAACTTCTCATTTTTGTTCAAGCTGTTTCAATATGCTTATTTTCATCCTATAATTTCATTTTAGACAGACATTAAAAAAACCAAATTACGTGATCGTAGATTAAAAGTTGAAACTCTTAAGAACCGATTATAATCAATAGTTTCTCTAAATATTGGTATATATTTCTTTTGTTAGCAAAAATTTTTATAATTATTTAGCGACTTAATGTTGTTTAAATCAGACTAGGTACAATAATTACATATATATGCGAAAGTTTGTATGTTTGTTACTTCTTCACTCTGGAACGACTGGACGTATTTGGATGAAATTTAAAACACAGATAAACTACCACCTAGTAACACATAAAATGTTTGTACTCCAGTCATGGGTGTTTATATTTATAATATCTATCGTGTGTATTCAGCCCTTTTTAACGTCCCACTGCTGGGCACGGGCCTCCCTTCAATACGAAGGGGATCAGGCCATAGTCCACCACGCTAGCCAAGTGCGGGTTGGCGGACTTCACGTCTTTCGAAAACTTGCTAAGTTCTCTAAGACATGCAGGTTTCCTCACGATGTTTTTCCTTTACCGTAAGGGCAGGTGGTGGTTAGAAATGATTCGCACATGAAAATATCAGAGGTGCGAGACCCGGGATTTGAACCCGCTTCACTCGGTTTCCCAAGCGAGCGCGTTACCACTGGGCTACCACTGTCTATTACTATTTTATTATTAGTATCTATCGTATTTAAAGTTATATATATGTAGTGTATTAACTATCTGGTATCCATAACACAAGCCTCGTAGCTTACCATGGAAATAGATGGTGCTGTGTGTTAATGTAACAACATATTTATTTACATGGCTACTGTTAGGTGCTTAGGAACCGAGCGAAACGAGGATAGTCATTAGTCAAAAAAAAACATTTATTTTTTAATTTTTATAAGTTACTCATTGAAATTTGAATAGCGATTAGTCCTAGTGGGAGTACAATTCACTCATGCTTTTCCAATTTTTAACCGACTTCCAAAAAGGATTACTTTGTTCGTCTTTATATATTTTTTAATTCTTATAGTTTAACAGTAGTTTTAACTGTGTCTTGGTGGTTCAGGTTTTTTTTTAAATAAAACTATCTATCTTTTCGGATTATTTTGCGGATTTATTTTGACTTTTAGTTCCCCATGAAGGCCATGCCTTTGAGACATCTAAAACCTTAGTCTCTCCCGTGACCATGATTGCTGTAAAGCATTCGACACGTCGGGAACCAAAAATCTAAATAAATCCGCGAAATAATTCGAAAAGATAGTTTTATTTAAAATATCAAAAAGGTTCCGGGTTTGTTAAATATAAGTGGACCGTATCATAAGTTTATCAGGTTTATTGACGTTATAATTCAATTGGACGCGACCTTTAACGGTCGTCGCTTTGGCGAGATGGCACTACCCTGCTTCAAAGACCGGTTTTCAACAAAGTATCTAATAAAAATTGTTAGTATGTAAAAAGAATAAATTAAAACACATTTCTTATATTTAATATTGTTCTTAATACAATAATTTTTGCTTTAAGCGTAAAAATAAGTACCTACAGTCTATTTAAAATTCCAGATTACTTATATATAAGACAGACAAACGTAAACTAGTTACTACTGGTTCCATTAAAGAAACATTATTATTTATTATACTCCCACTAAGTCGTCCAACTAGATTTAGCGAATAAAACACATCTCATTCTATTCTCTCAAGTTGTTTCATTCAGGTACTAAGCATAATAAACTCGAAAGACGTAACCCTCTTTCGGTAACTGTCGGGAGGCAAAACGTTATCGAATTTTAATTGTTTCAATACAACTCACATCTGTGACTCGTTATTATCTCATTCTGCAATCCAAAGTCCACCATGATCGTGTTCAGACTGTTGCGAGGCGATAAAACAAGTTTTAAGCAAATTTTATCTAAGACAAACCAATTTAATTTCCATACTAACAATCTTTTGGCACGAAATAATAGTGATTCTGTTAAGTTAGATATTCGCGGGGAAACTTTGAACTTCCCGTATGTATGGTTAAGAGATAACTGCCAGTGTGAACAATGCTTCCATCAATCAGCCAAAAGCCGGATAATAGATTGGAGCAAATTTAATCTAAATATTAAACCAAAAGACGTGAATAAAGACGAAAATTCCGTGCAAATAACGTGGGAGGATGGACACATATCCAAGTATGCCTTGAACTGGTTAAAATTTCGAAGTTTTTCACCAGAAAATCAAAGTAAATATACGAAAACTTTGTATAAACCATCCAAAGTAACTTGGCATGGCGATGATTTCACGAAAATATTCAGTAAGCACGACTATAAGGAAATTTTGAATTCCGATCAGGCACTTTACAAGTGGTTACAACAATTTGCGATCTATGGAGTTGCTTTGATACAAAATACACCACACTCTGAAACAGCAGTAGACAGTATAGTTAAAAGAATTGGTTTCTCAAAAAGAACACATTATGGACAACAGTTTGTAGTCCAAAATGTCCCAAACACAAGTAACGTAGCATATTTATCTAGTAATTTACAAATTCATACTGATTTACCATACTATGAATATTGTCCAGGAGCAAATTTACTGCACTGTCTCGTTCAAACAGAAAGTTCTGGTGGTGAAAACTTATTGTCCGACTGTCTTTACACTGCCGCTTATATAAAAGAACATCATCCAGATAAATACAAACTTTTAACTGAAGTGGAAGTAGAGTGGAGTGATATAGGAATAGAGGATGGTAATGAATTTTATAAATTATACAGATCACCCATCATATGTTTAGACAAACATAACGAGATAATAAGAATTAATTTTTCAATTCCTCAGCGTAGCACCAATTTTCCTGCTTCACTAGATAATGTATGGCCTTGGTATGAAGCTCATACTCTCTTCTTTGAATTAAATAAGAAGTTTTCTGCCAAGTTTAAAAGCAAAGCAGGAGATATACTTGTGTTCGATAATATTAGACTTTTACATGGTAGGAATAGTTATGAAGACAAAAGTAATAATGTACGGAAGTTAATTGGTGTTTATCTTGATTGGGATGAAATATATTCAAGATTGAGATGTTTAAAAGTAAAATTAGAACCAGAAGATGGCATGTAAATAAAGAAATTAATATTTCACAAAGTGATTTCCATGTTGTATAAGATACATAAGTAACCTGTAGGTTGATATTAGTTTTATGTTAAATGTTAGTATCCAAAAAATATATTGCATAAGAAATAAAAATTATAAATCATTTATTAGTTCAATATATGTATCTATATAACAATTTCTTACTAAAAATCTTCTCAAAGGCAATATTTTATTTTTACATTCCTCAAAACTTTCCTTAACTTCTATTAAAGGAAAATCTTCAAGATCTGGATTTGTTGCCAAACTCACTGCTGTTGATTCATTTGTATGTATAAATATAGTGAAACTTCTATCATCTGGTAAATCATTAAACTTATGATTAACTGTGGTTAAATGTAAACAAAATGCGCGAATATTTTGTTCAGTTTGCACTAAATAAGCATCTACAGTTTCATCAAAATTATTCACAGAATCAAAATCAAACACAAATTTTAAAACTGGCATATAGTCGTTATCAGTTATCGCAAACTCTAGACGTTTTAACTGTCCACTTTTTAAGTTCTCTGCTATAGCTTTTAGGCACAAATCAATGTACTGATTAACTTCTGGATGTATCGATCGGTAAACTACGATACTGTATTTTTTCCTTGTCTCAAATATACTTTTTGGATAAACTGAAGCGTAGTAAAGGATACTATGAAACGCCACGGCGAGGAATTCTACTGTTATATCTACAAAACAACTGTCCATTTTGTCTCGCAATTAAATGTTTTAATTATAATGATAGCCGGAAAGTATAATATTAACTTGAGAGTAAAAATCATAAGGAAAAATAGCTTATATTCATAGTTTTACTTTGCTATAGTTGTGTACAACTATAGCATATTGTAAGACTAATTAATTTTAGTAGATATTTTAATATACTCAATAATAATTAATATTTACGAATTTTAAATTTCTAACCTAAGCTTTCTAAACGTCAAATTCATTTTTTCAATGACATATTGTGTCAAAAGTTTGAACCATAGATGAATAATGAGTTAAAACGAAGATATACTACATTTTTTTTAGTTTGTTTTCAGATATCGAGTTATTTAATACAAAAAATTAGATAAACTTTTATGAAAGACTTATCACTAAAGAGAATATTACTTTGATACACTAAATCAATCTCAAATACAACTCGAAAATTCTAACAAAAGTAGGAAACCATGTTTTTAGTATTCACAATGGGGAAGATTTCTTGAAAGGTTTCTTGAAAGGCGGGCACTACACGTATGATCTATTTACATTAAGTCTGAGGTTGAGCAATTTATTATGATATCTCTTTTGCACCTGGTTTTATGCTCCTGTTGTGTTCGTATCTCTCCTGTGCAATGTATTGTACCTGGATGTTAAACCAGCTGAAGAAAGAATTGAGGAGGAGAGTTCACCCTGTGGCGGTCCCGATTGACTGATGGATCAACATAGCCTAAGCCACTGGTCGTAGAAATGTGAAATTTAGAGGACGTATTCCTTAATCCCTATATTATGAAGAGGCATCCGATAAGAGAGGATTTCCGAAATTCATCAATCAATTAATGTGAAATATACAGAAAGTATTCCTTAGCTTTAAAATAAAAATATATTGATTTGTTTTTTTTTCGAAATTAAAAAGGAGTGAAAGGGGGTAATAAAGTGTATATGGGTAAAGAATTATTTATAATTAGAATTACTTGAAACTTGGTAGTAATGCTCTTTAATACAACTAAATAAATACATGTTTTAGTATTTTTCCAAATACATGGACTTATGAGATCATAAGGAGATAAAATGAGGGATGATTGATGAAATATGTAAAAAAATCCAAAAAAATCCAAAAAAAACCACCTGTGGACGATTTAAGAGTTTTAATATCGCTTTCTGTAAAATAATGATTGTGAATATAAAGATTGTGATTTCCCCAATTTTGGTCGTCATACTGCTTTAGCCCACAATTTCTTCAGTTTTTGTCTTTTGAGAATAAATGATCTCCATTTTCATTGCGTTCTAGCACTGTACAATTTGTCATTTTAATAAATTTTAAAATACAGAGCTGTATAATATCCCGAGGATCATAATGATCGCGACATCTGGAGGGGGACGAAGACAAAAAATTTTCCGATTGTAAACTTATGGAAGTTATAACTTATAGGTAAAGAGCATCTCTGTTTATATAAAAAGTGACCGCTGACAAGCATCAAATTGGTGGCTCACAGAAAACAAGTAGATGAATTTAAAATATTGCGCCGAAAGCCATAAGAGTAAGATGGTGAATTAAACAAGGAAAGATTTCCGCTTTGTTGTGGTGAACTTTTCAATATAGTTCTAAAATAGGCAAACACCAATACAGAATATAATTACATATTATATTCAAGTATCTAATTAATATTCAATATAAAATTATTAATATATTAATGAAATCTATAATTATTTAATATATACTGCAGCTTTATTAACTACACTGGTCAGCAGATAGCATATTATTCAATTTTTCAATTTAGCACACTTCACTCCGTTTAAAACTGCTATATTAATATTTCAAAAGATCATAACACTTCTACTTGCTATGCTAGCGCTATAACGGTGATTTTCTGAATTACAATTTGCTGCACACTAGAGGATACTTTTTTAATTTGTTTCCGAGAATCCGATTTGAGGGTTTTCATTCTACCCTACATAAATGTAAATTTTTGTCATCCATGACGTAAACCGAACTTTGTAATAGAACTTTAGAAATTAGAATTGCATTTTGATATCTAGAAATACAGCTTTTGTCTACATCATAAACTAATGCACTGATTTTCTTGAAAACTTTGGCTTCCATATGCAAAAAAATTTATTAAGACAAATTATTACTTCCTATTGATGATAGTCTGGGAGAAATATACCAAAACATATAGATATTAATATTTGGCCTACTAGTGTCATATGTATATTAAACAAATCTAGCAACCTAAGATTTTTAGAAAAAAAAGGGTACGAAATTGCACTATATTGCTTATTATAAATTTAAAAAAGTAGTTTTAATGGTTATGAGGTTAGATTAATAATGATAAATTGCAAATATTTTAATATTCCAGCTTGTAAGTTACTAAATTAAAATATGTTACAAATAACATCATTAATCTACTTTGTTAAATAAAATAGCTAATATTAAAAATGTCTAATGATGGAACATAAGTAATAAAAGGAGAATACATTTTTTTCACTTAAAACATCTATATTTCATAACCATATTAACAATTTCACTTTATTCACTTATTTATCTGGAAGAGCATCCAATCCCTGAAAAAGAGAAAATAAGATATTACCAAAGAAATTTAAACTAAATAGTTTTAAGAGTAGTATAACAAACAAAAACAGTTCATATAAGCATAGGATTCTTTGCGTAATTCTTTACTAAACCATTTTGTTAAATTTAATTTAAAAATGAGTTCTTTGGTTACATAATAATTACTCAATCAATTATGATAATTTTTTTAACAAAAAACGCTTACATTAACTTTGTAAGGATTTCCTGTTATCCTCATATCTCTTTGGTAGGACATACGGTCCCAACGGGAATGAAGACTTCGTCTGAAATGCTGGAATATAAATATTAAAATTATTATTTAATTTGTCAATCTGTTTGTTAAGTCCTTAGTTTTCAATAATTTATATTAAATGCATCTTTGGTCTAGTGGCAAGCATGCATACTGATCCAGAGGTCAGACAAATTATAGTTATTGGTTTTTATTGTCACAGCATTCTCAACAATACCCCAGAGTTGAAAAGTTGGTAGTGTGTCCCACCCAGGCCTTGTCATCCAACCAATGTTTTCAAGTAAAATGAATAAAGAATGCACTTGTGTTTGTGCACATACTTGTGTAATCTCCTGTACAGATGGCTAGTCTCAGTGAAATTGACTGCCCTGTCCGTAATCAATCAGAGAGACAATATTAAAGATCAAGGATATATCTATAAATATTGTTTTATAATAACACCCTATTTAAAGGTGCTAAACACATTTCAATATGATACTTGTTTTAAAAGAATATTAAGTTATATTAAAAATGATTTAAGATAGTACAATAGCAGGTATTTTAGGATAAATTATTTTAGGACAAACATAACAAATAAGTTATTTTTAGTATTAAATGAATAGAAGTATTTTATCTATGGTTTTTAAGTATTTTCATCTCAGGAGGTATACTGTTACCTAATAGATACCCTTAGTAAAACTTACATTGCCTAAGGTCAAATTGTGAATATGATATAGAGCCCAGCCCGGTACTCCAAGGCCAGCTGTAATAATTAAGAAACTCGGTAAAATTTCGTACCACATTTTGTTTAATTTAAAACGAAATTATATCCCTTTTAAAAATGATCTCAATATATCTATACTCTTTGAATGATCTTATTGATCACAAGAATGACACTTGACAGTGACAATTGACATCTGCTTTAACGGTATTGCCATTCGCCAAAGAGTACCTATGTAACCACGTTTGATATTGCCTCAAAATATCACTTCAATCGTAGACGTTCCCACAAAGAGTACAGGTACATGTATTATCCGTTAACTGGTTATTATTTTTTATGTTGATATTATTAAAATAAACGATTTTTTTAACTATATTAATGCTCTATAAGTAGAACCTAGAATAAAGTTAATTTATCTCTATTTTTGTAAATTCTGTGACTAAAGTCATATTGTTTATTTTTGCTATTAATCTGTGCACAAGGTATATGGTCATCAAACATGGCAGACGCACCGATCGATTGTGATTTCCCTGTTTGGGGATTATTACCGAAAAAAGAAACAGGGGTAGTCTCTTTTTTAAATAAATATCCAAACTATGATGGCAGAAATACTGTCATTGCAATTTTTGATTCGGGTGTTGACCCGGCAGCGTCAGGACTTAAGGTATAAAATTGACTTGTCACGATTTGTTTAGTTGCACTTTTTAAATATTTTTTCGTATAAAAACTAAATATTATAACTTAGGTGACTAGCACAGGAGAGACAAAGGTTATAGAAAGATTCGACTGCAGCGGTTGCGGAGATGTTGATACAAGTACGGTTATACGGAAAGTCGCCGATGGTTGTATTACCGGCAGCACAGGTCGAAAACTTAAAGTATGTATTATTTGATTATTATTTATTTAAAAAAATAGTGCTATTAGGATAATTTATATTGTAATTAGTAGTTGATTAAATTTCATGTTTACCTTAAGCTAAATTTGGCTGTCAGTCGAGGTCATTGACTTTTGTCATATAGTCACAGCTGTTCTTTGTCAATTTATTTTTACTGAATTCGCTTATATTTTTTCTGCTCTACTAATGTTAAATTTTCATAAAATATGATATTTTAATCATTATTGCAATGCATATTTATAATCATTTATTATTAAGATTCCAGAGTCTTGGAAAAACCCTAGTGGGGAGTGGAGGGTTGGTGCCTTATACCCATTTAGTTTATATCCTACTAAAGTTAAAGAAAGAATTCAAGATCACAGAAAAGAGCACCTTTGGGATGTTGGATATAAACCTGCTTTGGCTGAGGCTACAAAAAAATTACAAGACTTTGAAGATGAAATTGGTAAGATAAACGTGAATTAATATAATATTTTTAAAAGACAATAAAAATATTTTCTATTGTGAATAATATAATAAAGTTAATAGTTTTTTTTTGATAAATTGTATCCATTATTAATAGTGTAATACTTAATACATATACAGATATAATTATTCATATTAATATAAGTAAAGATTTATTAATATAATAATAATAATCTTTATTCGGTATTTCAATATCAATCATTTCAATGTGTTTACAGCTTCAAAAACAAATCTTAGTCAAGAAGAAAAAATGCAGAAGGAGGAATTAGAGGCTAGAGTGGAAGTTTTAAAAGAGGCTGAGAAGAAATATAATGATGTTGGACCTACATATGATTGTGTTTTGTTTCATGATGGCACTGTTTGGAGGTAATATATATATACACAAAACTAGCGACTCACCCTTGCTTCGCTCTGGTTCGTCCCCATACAAACTTTTATCCATATTTTCACCCCTTAAGGGATGATTTCGAAATAGAAAGTATCCTATGTTCTTTCCAGGGACTTAAACTATCTTCTTATCAAATTTCATCTCAATTGGTTCTGTTCCAAAGATTACCCTCTACAACCTCAGAACCTCACAAACTTGATCTCTTTGTAATATTAGTATAGATGAACAATTTTCTCCTATATAAAGGATGGAACGGTAATAATATTTAAATATGCCGTGTAGTAACATAAGAACATTATAATAAAATAAAAAAGAAAGTGCATCTTATATGCAGTCTACATAAAAAAAGTTGAAATATTACTCTACATGTCTGATTTTAAATGAAAATCCAAGTCAGACCATAGTTTAGTGTCTCACAAGTAGTATTAATTGTATTTTTTTTGCTCTCATTAATATATTTTGTTATAAGGCACAGTCTATGTTCAGAATATGTAAAGAATTGATCAAATTGTATGATGACATAATTTTTTTTTGTTATTCTGAGGCCTTATTGATACATTTTTTGGTGACATGAATGAATAGCAAAAAAAAAAACTTTTTTGGCAATATGTACTATGAATCATGAAGTTTCCCTAAAACACCCTCTTTATTTGATGTCTCATATAAATTAAATAGAAAATGAATAAATATGTTGGCCATGGTAAGCTATAAGGCTTGTGTTATGGATACCAGATAGTTAATACACTACACATATTATATAACTTTAAATACATATTTATTATAAATATATTATAAATTGTTTACTAATTATTCCAGAGCATGTATAGACATATCTGAATGTGGAGATCTAGCCAGTGGTCCATTACTAGGGGAGTACAGTATAACACATGAACATACACATCTCACTCCGATAGATGAAATGACGATCAGCATCAATGTGCATGATGAAGGGGACACTCTGGAAGTAGTTGGCATGTGCTGTAAGTGTAGTATAGTAACTATTAGTTTCCTTAATTTATGTTTTGCAGCATACGACATTTTTGTTAGGGTTCTGTACCGGAAGAGTGCCAATGAAACCCTATTACTACGCCTGTGCTGTCTGTCCCATCTGTCTGTCAGAGGGCTTTATCTCGTAAACTAATAATTAATATAAATATTTAATATAAATAGATAAAAAGTTCAAATTTTCACAAAGTATGTAATTCTATTGCTGCTATAATAACAAATAATCTTCGATCAACAATATAACTAGATACTGGGTCGGCGTAAGAAATCCATCTCGGTAAATATAAGCTCATTTGAAAAGTGAGAGTATATTTCGATTAGTTCTATTGAAACATATTTAAAAGTTGCAAAAACAATGCGCGAATAAGAAATATTTCAGACGGAGTATGTTATTTTTGGTAAATACATGTAGATTAAATCAATATTTTAAGATTTAACTTACAAAATAATATAAAAATGAAATTTTAAACAATTTTAAACGTTGTGCCAGGTTGGCCAATATACGCGCCAATTCAAAGAAGCAACAGAAGACATAACAATTTATCTCACAAATAAAACAACGGGAAATAGTGCTTTATGGTTTTTGATATAGTGTTAATTTTACAATAAAGATTATTAAACTTACGAAATGATCGTAAGTGTATGATGACAATTGACGATTTGTGACTTTATTACAAGGTGCTATGGTGTTCATTAGCTAGAAAATAAAACTATTATAGTTATTATAGTTCATTGGGATGGCTCAACATTCTGATATTTAATTGCAGCTGAGACATTTTCGAAGTCGGTGTGGTTTGATTTGTATCAGCTGGCATGAGCAGCTGCTCATCAACTCAAACCACACCGACTTCGAAACTGTCTGATTAGGTATCAGTAATAAATGAAAACCAATCAGTTATTGTTTACTTTTTAGTGTTTTATTTGAAGTCTCTTTTTATTTTCAATTTCCAGCAACCCATGGTACCCACGTAGCAGCAATCGCATCCGGCTATTTCCCAGACGAGCCAGACAAGAATGGAGTAGCTCCTGGTGCTAAAATCATATCCTTAACAATAGGAGACAGTCGGCTTGGTTCTATGGAAACTGGTACGGCATTGGTGAGAGCTTGTATCAAGGTTATGGAACTGTCCAAGAAGATGAAGATAGATGTTATTAATATGAGCTACGGGGAACATGCGCATTGGTCGAATGCTGGGTGAGTTGTGTGTTCTTTGTTGACTGACTTCATGAAAGTTGTGCGTTAGGCATTATCTTTGTAACTCGTAATTCGTGACTGATCTTGTGCTTATAATTATAATTAGAATGAATTGGTGTTTGCGTTTTTATATAAATATTTATAAAAAAATTCACCATCTAAAGAGGAGAATTCCCAAGGAGGGTTGATGTCAGGCAGGCGGCCGATCATAAACTTTTTGCCAAATCCTATCAGCAGTATGGAGTATATACTGCACTGACCCCAAGTGATTGGGATATAGGCAAGGAGATGATGATAATCTAAGATGGATCCATTAGTATCAGTAGTATTAATCATATAATTAAATGTAGAATTGTGTGGGTAATGTTTCACTGACAACGGTTTTAAGAAAAATACTATTTTTTTTTAGCAGTAATGCCATGTTTTGGTTTGTTTAAATAATGGTAAAACCATGTGGTACGCATGATAGCTTTTTAACCCCCGAAGCAAAAACAGGGGTGTTACAGTGTATCTGTGTGTTTGTATATCTTGTGTCTGTTTGTGGCATTACTTCTTTTATTTTTAGCTTCTAAAAGCATGGATAGATTTCAATGTGTTTTTTTATTAATACCATTTTTGACATTAATACCATTTTTGACTGACAAGGTTATTTCAAAATTTATAATTAATCAAATCAAACTAATAACAAAGTTGTTTTTTTTTTTCAGAATGAATTGTGTTAATGTACTAAAGTTAATTTATTGTTTAATGTATGTATGTACGTAACATGTTTGCATGTTTGTTGCGTGCAGCCGCGTGGGGTCGGTGATCAGCTCGGTGGTGAACCGCTACGGCGTGTCGTGGGTGGTGTCCGGCGGCAACCACGGGCCCGCGCTCGCCACCGTCGGCGCGCCGCCCGACATCGCGCAGCCCATACTCATCGGTACCTACACGCTATACACTACACACATGATATATATACACACGAATGAACATGTACACGCATATAGAATGTATGTAGTACGCATGGATAGAATATCCTTTTCCTTAAAAACCATGGAAGTATTAAATTTAAATTAAAATCAAACACTCAGGTATGCAGTCCCTCGGTACAGTGAGAATATCTAATTTTTAAGTCAACGTAATTAAAAAATATGGCCATTTATGCCCTATATTTTGATACTCGCAAGGGTATCAAAACCTATAGGGTACATACTTCCAGTTGATTTAGAATTAATCTCTTATAGCACAAGTAAAGGTAAAAATAAAACCGTAAATTTGTACTTGGTTATAAAATTCTTTTTTCGATTATAAACTTATTATATAAAAACTAGCGCCTCGGTGTACGAATTGGACTCGCACTTGCCTGGTTTTGTTTTTTTTAAATATTAATATTCCTTACATTGTGTTTCCAGGCGTGGGCGCGTACGTGTCGGCGGAGATGATGCGCGCGGCGTACGCGCTGCGGGGCGGCGCGGGCGCGGTGGAGGGCGCGTTCAGCTGGAGCTCGCGCGGGCCGTGCGCGGACGGCGCGGCGGGCGTGGCGCTGTGCGCGCCGGGCGGCGCCGTGGCCAGCGTGGCGCGCTTCACGCTGCGCCACGCGCAGCTCATGAACGGCACCTCCATGGCCGCGCCGCACGTCGCCGGAGCCGTCGGTCGGTCACTCGCACGTTCACGCGGACTATAATATGATAATGTTACACGAACACTATTTTTGAATTTGATAAATTTTGCTGTAGCGAGTTATTTTGTTAAAATTGTAATTTGTTAATATATTAAGTACTAGCAGTACTCGCCGCTTTGTGTGCTCAAACTTCGGATAACCACCGAACGTCACAGGTCAACCGGTGAGCTAATGTGAAGTTTGCCTCGAAGTTTAATCGAAATAGCTCCAGTTGTTTTGGAATTCATAAATAATATACTTATGCACATCGACTTTTATATACATATATACATACAAAGAAAATGTAAACCCATAGCCCAATTTTAGGTGACTATCTATTAAATAAATCCTTAGTAAAAATATCACTTTGCGACGCATCGTGTGTTCATGAAAAACGTTGACGTTGCAAGCGCCGGTCAGTGAAATTAACCTAAAAAAAACCACAACGTAATTAAATATGCCTATTTGATTTTTAGTAAATTTACTATTCTTTCTTACGTTATTCTGTATTTATTAACTCTATTTTATTGGTATATATAAAAATAAATAAAAAAAATGAAATGTTATATTTCAAAAAAGCAATATATAGTACATGAAGCGAAATATTTTTCTCATATCATCTCACATTCCCTAAAAGTGAGACACCAAATTTGGTGGAACTCCCTGACCCTCACGGACCATCAGCCAGATTAGACCAATAACCAATCAATAGCTCAAATATGTTTGTTTATTACAGCGGTACTGATATCGGGCCTCAAAGACATGAATCTGCCATACTCGCCGTACTCCATGAAGCGCGCGCTGGAGAACTCCGCCACGTACTTGGAGCACGTGGAGCCGTGGGCGCAGGGCTGTGGGCTGCTCAATATTGAGAAGGTATTATTCTAAAATAATACGATATATTTAAGAGAATCATAATTATTTCATTGTGCTTATTAGCAAAATATGTAGTGTCAATTTCTTATTTATTATTAAATTACCCGATTTAATTTTTTCTATAAAAACGTAAACGAATAATAAATTAATATAATATACTAGAGGATGTAATTTTTTATTTTAGCTAATTTTATTGTTTCTCATATTAAATAAATTTTAAGGATTGGCACTACACCATATGATTTGAAAAATAAATGAAGCTATTTTGTTATATTTTTATTGAACTATTAGCTGGAGAGCTAGTGAACCCTGGGAGTAACGGTCTCCCTGTAAGGTTAGAAATTTGTCTATTTACGATTTATGGCATGCTAAGAGCAATAGCCATGACCTGGCAGGCGTCAGCCCTGCACGTCATCAGCCCCTTTATTTTTTGAACTGTTTAGTAAATTGAGTTTTAAAACTTGTTTCTGTAAATTTGAAAATTTAATAGGATAAAGTTTATTTATTGTACATCTTAAAAAAAAATTGACAGGCGATTACAATAAGCAGAAGTATATGACAGATCAATTAGAAAACCCACAGTTGATGATGTAAAATAAACTTTATCCTGTATACTTAAAATTTTTATATGTTTTCAAGTAAACGTCTCAGAGTAAATATGTACAATGCCAGGCGGTTTTGAACAGAATAAGACCTTGACAGGCGAGGGGACAGGGAGCTGCTAAGGGCGTGCAAATAAGAAATGTTACATGAACGCATACAGTAAATGCAATGTATTTTATTGGGTTTTATGCAATTTACATTATTTTTAACATTCATTTTCTTCAGCATAATCCGAAATTTCGCTATCACTGTTTTCATCATCATCTGATTCTTCAACAATGTTTTCCTCATCTGAAAATAGTAAAAAAATATTTGAATGAATCAAAAAGGTTGTTAAGAATTAAATATCAATCTCAATTACGTAGGACTGCATATTAAATGTTACGGAATAAAATAGTTGTATGTTACCTGAAATGCATTCCTCAGTTTCAGTCGATTGTGCTGTGGCAGTATCAGCAGGTCCTTGTAAAAGTATGTCGTATATAGAAGATGGAACCGTATTCCCCTCAAACCAATTAAAATTGTAACGACTATCAATTAAGTTCCAACCGTTAAATTACAATTTCGCCATATATTTGTAACTAGCGGCTCACCCTCGCTTCGCTCGGGTTCGTCGCTGATTTAAATAGATATAAATAGTTATTAGCCAGTGTTAATCATATAAATCTTAATTTTTTTTCGTGATTTTTCTGGTGTTTTAATACTTATTAACCTATTCCAGACTAAGAGAAATCCAAAAATTCAAATATCATAAAAATTGTTCCACCCATTCTTGAGTTTTATGTCACGTAGCCAAATCGGTTCAGCCGTTCTTCAGTTATAAATAGTGTAACTAACACGACTTTCTTTTATATATATAAAGACTAGCGGCTCACCCTCGCTTCGCTCGGGTTCCAGCGTAAGCCATATAAATTTTATTTTTTTTTCGTTAATTATTCTGATGTTTTATTACTTACCTATTCCGGACTAAGAGAAATCCAAAAATTAAAATATCATAAAAATTGGAACGCGGTCGAACGGGATAAAAAGTATCCTATGTCCGTCTCTGGGTTCTAAGCTACCTCCCCGCCAATTTTCAGCCGGTTTCAGCCGTTCTGGAGTTATAAATAGTGTAACTAACACGACCTTCTTTTATATATATAGAGATGTAGGCAGTTTTTTCATAAACACTTTAGGATTATTTGTGTTACGTAGCAAGGAACTTTTCATAACGTGCATTATTTAATTTTGAACACTAATTCTTTGAATGCCTTCTGATATACACTCGATTTCTGCAATATTTGGAATGGGACGGACTTATTCGCACTATAGGCATTCACGCAACATCTCTCACTCGCACGCCCTTAGCAGCTGTATCTTGACTATATTGTTTTTTACTGAAAATCGAAGTGTCTCTCAGTGATTTAAAAGTAACTGTGTTTTTTTGTACCTTCATAAAGTTATTTATATGACACCAGTACCTAAACAACCGTTTTTAAATTTTTTGTCTGTTTGTCGTTCTTTCCGTTTGTCCAAGGTAATGTTGGGAACGGCTTAATTGTTTGTAATAGATTTTTCACTGAAAGATAAAGGAGTTTGTAGGGCTACATAATATAGGGTATGTTCTATTCCTGAAATATTTAGGGCTCCAGTGTGAAGATCAAAACCCTTAAAAATAACGTAAAATTCGAATTTAGGTTTTTTTTGACATTAACACAGCACCATCTAGTTCCATGGTAAGTTAAGAGTCCTGTGTTATGGATACCAATATAGTTTATACACTATACATATATAACTTTAAATACATACATATTATAAACTGACTGGGTATACAAACATTCGTGCTTATCACACAAATCAACAAACAAACAGCGAGAATCGAACCCGCGACCAATGGCACGGCAAGTAGGGTCACTTCAAACTGAATCAAAAGTGTCGTTCGTCAAATTTTCGTTAATTTCACGAAAAAGTCCGTATAAGCATGTGTGTATCTCCTAAGGTGCTCACAATAACTATTTTTATCTATTGGTAACGTATTTAGGAATCCGAGTGAAGCGAGCGAAAATGGCTAGTCTGTAAAATAATTCCAGCACTGCAATGAAATGATTATCTTTAAATCTTTTTTTAAGCCCATTCAATATTAATGTGAAAATAACAAAACCGGCCAAGTGCGAGTCGGATTCGCGCACGAAGTGTCCCGTACCATTATCTATAGAGACGGCAAAAAAATCATGTCTATTGTATGGGAAATCCCCTTAATTATTGGTTTTATTTTAATTTTATTATTTATTTTTAAAATGAATATATAACTAAATATTCTGTGAATATTTCAAGCGTCTACCTGTTGCCGTTATCAATATCGAGAAAAAACTAGCAAAAAAATCACATTTGTTATGTGGGAGCCCCCTTAAATATTTATTTTATTCTGTTTTTTAGTATAGTGGCAACAGAAATAAATCTTCTGTGAAAATTTCAACTGTCTAACTATCACGGTTCATTAGTTACATCCTGGTGACAGACAGACAGACAGACGGACGGAGAGCAGTGTCATAGTAATATTGTCCCGTTTTACCCTTTGGGTACGGAACCCTATAAACATTTAATTTAATAAATACCTCTTTTCAGGCATTTGAGATCCTCACAAAGTACCACGACCAGCCCGAGAGGGATGTTACATTTAACATCAAGTGCGGCAACAACAATGCCAAAGGCATCTTCCTCCGGCCCAAGTTTGATGACCCTCCCAAAGACATTGCTGTTATAATCGAACCTCAGTTCCTTGAAGACCACACGGATGAAGAAAGTGAGTAAAGCCTCGTTTACACAAGCAGCTTTGTATCTTGGAGTATAAGTAACAGTTAGTCAATGTAAACTCCGCCTTATGTGGTATTACATATGGTATATTTTACATCGCCTTACTTTATCATACTCTTTTGAGGTTCATAATTCATATCTCCAATGTGGAAAAATGGGTGCGTGTAACATTTACACATGGTTGAAGTAAAACTTTTTAGGAAAATATCGCAATTAAATTAAAACAAATCAATAATTAAATAAGGCATATTAGGCATGTTATACTCATATATTTTTAGAATATCATATACGGAAAGAATATGTTATATATTTGTCAGACAATAACAACGGTTACCATGGCAACATGGCAATGTATACTATCTCATTCTCTCATGCTCAATCCTATACATTTATGTGTTTGTCTCTTTTTAATGTCGCATTTTCGATTCATCGAGTTTCAAATCACAACGATTCTAAAGAAGTTTCACTTCAATATTCTGTTTGCGGCTGCAGTTTTATATATCATAAATTATGCATAGTCCTTAATTCTAAAATAAGGTTTTACAAAGTGCAAACCATATTATGGCAATAAATTAATCTTTAGATGCCTAATGATTTTTTAATATTTTAAATAAAACTATGTTTCCGAATTTTTTCGCCGTTTTTTTTTTGATTTTTAGGTTTCCGACGTTTCGAATGATTTGCAGCAATCGTGGTCACTAAAATTCAAAATATAACTGCGAAAAAATCCGAAAAGATAGTTTTATTTAAAATGTCAAATATTCGCGTAAATCTAAGAAAGTATTACGTGAACGTCTTTAACTTAAAGTTTAGGCTTATTTCATTCACTTTGACAAGTCTCATACGATACAGTTAGATACATTTTTTTTTATTTTGTGATATTATTAACACTTATGATTATATTATTTTAATCCCATTATAATATTATAAAAAGTTTTAGATGGATGTTTGTTACTCATTCACGCCAGAACGGCTGAACGGATCTGAATGAAATTTGGCACAGAGATAGATTAAAGTTTGGAATAGCAAATAGATTATTTTTTATCCCGGAAAAATGTACGGTTCCCGTGGGATTGATTTGTTTCTCACTAGGGACGAACCCGATCGAAGCGATGGGTGAGTTGCTAGTATGATAAATTCAATTTCAATAAAAACATTTAAACCAATGTTTCTAGAATTGAACAGTCTAAAAGAAAATTCTTTAATGCAAGTGTGGGCCATGTGTTGTGGTATGTCCATTTGATTTTAGTCTTAATATTCATAATAATTTGGATTATAGTTGATTAATTGTAATATGTAATTAATTATAGTATTAAAGTATTTTAAATAAAACTATCTTTTCGGATTTGTTTCGTGGAGTTATTTTGATTTTCGGTTCCCGAATGGTCACGGGAGAGACTACGGTTTTAGACGTCTTAAAGGTATTATATAGTTGTTACAGGCAGCCCACCCACAAAATAAAAAAATGAGTTCAAATAATTCTAAAATGGCGCCAAAGTACCTTACAATATTTGATAATTTTGATTTTAAACATTTTTATAATTAAATATGGAATATTATTTATTAAGTTTTAGTTGTTATTGTTATAATATTAAAATCCAAATAAATCCGCGAAAACATCCGAAAAGATAGTTTTATTTAAAATGTGAAATATTCGCGTAAATCTAAGAAAGTTGTATTATATACCATTGTATCAGGTGATTATTTGCCCTTTTGACCCTTTTAATTAAAAAAAAAAGTATTTTTTAAATAGCTTATTTTTTTTAGGTAATGACTTTAAAATTTATTTCATAGTTTAATATTTTTGATTTAAAACAATTTGTTTTTATTTTGAAAAATAGCTCAAAATTAATTTTGAAATGTAGTAATTTTAAAATTGGTTTCATCCTTAGTTTAGGATTGTGTTATAATTTTATTATCGAAATCGGTTCAAAAAAAACATAACTACATAGAGTATAATAAATGATACCTCAATAAAAACATAAATATATATTCATAAAAGATGTGGTCAGTTCCGAGCGCGCAGACGAACGGAGCAGGTAGAAGAAAATCTAAATAGGCTCCCCTTGCAGACAAGTCCGTGATCCCCAAGCAGATCGCGTTCAGCGTGCGGCTGGCGCTGGCGTGCGCGGCGCCGTGGCTGGCCGCGCCCGCGCACCTGCACTGCGCCAACGCGCCGCGCGCGCTCGCGCTGCGCCTGCGCACGCACGACCTGCCGCCCGGCCCGCACTACGCCTGGTAACAAACACACTACACCCGCACACTTTATATTATACTTTTGCAGTATCATCGTAGCCATTGTTTTACTACTAATATAAGAATTGTTACAAAGTAAATAAACATTTCATTTCAATTTCACTACACTATACTACGTTACACTCCACTACAATACCCCACATTACACTATACTAATTCACATTACATTCACTAACTCGCTACGCTACTACAATATTATGTTATTCTGTATTATATTTTTTTATATTGTAATATTTTAAACCTTGCATTTCACAATACTATGTAATACTCTGTATGTATAAAATCTCATGTAGTAAAATGTTTTATATTATTGCATTTATAAATACTTAACACTTAGATCTCGCGTTGATCATTGCAATAATTTTATTAACACTCCATTATATTCCATGTAATATGTCGTTACATTATATTCCATGTAATATGTCGTTAATAAACATTTTTACATTACATTTGACGATTAAATATTTTATATAAACAAAAAATATAAAATAGGCGACCATGGGAATTTTAGAATAATTGTATTTTTTTTTATTTTAAAAATAACCGTAGTATGAATAATTAAAATTTCATAATTTGTAAATTGAAATTATTATTAGTCTGGTTTTCACATTCATTGACACTCGAGCAATAAAGTTTTGCCACTATCAAAAATCGCTCAGCATGGCTAAAGAAGTTTTCAATTCATTGATCTAAAAAGTACTAAACACAATCCCATGTAAAAGTTCTCTTAAAACTGTCACCAATTGTGTTTAGGTAGTTATTCTAGTTGAAATAAATATACAACAATGTAAATTGAACTTTAAAACCAATGCTTAAAGTTGTTTTCACAACAAAAAAAAAACAATAACGGCGCGCTGAAATCTTCAAATGAGTGTATTTTTGTCGCTGATTGTGTATGTTACATTTTTGATCGATGTTTCAAATCAAATAGTGCGATAATCTGTATGTGTGTGCGTGTGCGTGCAGCGTGAAGGCGTACGACGTGTCGTGCGTGGAGAAGGGGCCGGTGTTCCGCGTGGCGGTGACGGTGCTGCAGCCGGCGGCGCTGCGCGGCGCCCCGCACGCGCCGCAGCTGGAGGAGCGCGACGTGCTGTTCCGCCCCTCCACCATCAAGCGGCACATCGTCATACGTGAGTTCTGACTGACCAGGTTCTGTGCTTCGGGAGGATTATTTTGAATTTCCTTTTTTTAGATTATGCTCAGTTAAAGTAATTGGTTTTCTGATTCAATAGTAAATGTAAGTCGTATGTACACCAGCGCCTATGGAGGCGACGTGGGGCGTGGTGCGGCTGTGGCGGCGCGGCGGCGACTGCGGCGCGCGCTTCCTCGTGCACGCCATGCAGCTGGCGCCGCGCCGCTCGTGCCGCGCGCACGACACGCAGCGCCTGCTCGCGCTGGCGCCGCACGCGCCCGCCGCCGCGCCCTTCCGCCTGCTCGTGAGTGCAAGCACCCCCCCTCCCACACTCGCCACGCTCCCCTCACCCTCCACACTGCCCTCACTCACCCACACACCATCCATACTTGCTTCATCCACTCACTTCACTCCCCATCCCTTACACCTATACACACCCACCTCCATGTTCACTCACATGTATCTTAACACCCCACACGTATTCACTACGTACTTTACATATCCCCGTATACTATTCCGGTTTTAAAATAAATATTGGTTATTAAACATTGTTTGGTGTGGTTACATTTTTTAATATAATCTGTTATTTTGTACTATTTATCTTTATAATTGTAAACTGGTGTAACAACTTTTAAAATGTAAATACAATTGAAATATAAAAAAATAAAATAAAAACTAAGCTTAAGAGTAAAAAAAAATCTATATTTCTTTTTCTTTCAATGCCAAGTCATCAACATTATTTCTAACCATTTTAAAACCTTTGAAATGTCTATTATCTAAATATCCCATAAGTATAAAACAAAGTCGCTTACCGCTGTCTGTCTGTCCCTATGTATGCTTAGATCTTAAAACTACGCGACGAATTTTGATGTGGTTATTTTAATAGATACGAGTGATTCAAGGAGAAGGTCTATATGTGTAATACATGCATATTATAGTACATAAAAGTCGAGAAGATCAAAGAATTGTATTTAATGCTTACCGTTAAAACGTATCCCATCTCACAACCGGTGCCAGGGCGGCGTGACGCTGGAGGTGGTGATCGCGAAGTACTGGGCGAGCCTGGGCGACATCAGCGTGGACTACACGGTGGAGTTCCACGGCCTGAAGCCGGACTTCGGCGCGCGCCTCACGCTGGGCGCGGCGGCGCTGGGCGCCGTGCAGCTGGCGGCGCTGCGCCCGCAGGACGTGCAGCCCGTCGCGCAGCTCAAGTACATCGAGCCCGTGTACAGGTGCGATCTTCTTTTTAATTATAACTACCTGACTTTTAGACCAGAAAAACATTAAAAAAAAACAAACTAAAAATATGAATAAATACAAAAAAAAAATAACAAAAGTATAAACTTTGTATCCGACCGGGATAAGGGGGTAAGCTGGTGAATGCGTTACGAAAATATGTACGTACGTTTGTTCCCACGGTAACCGTTGTTATTGTCTGACAAATATAATAATATTATATTCTTTCGTTAAATGATATTCTATTAATATATGATTGTAATATGCCTAATATTAAATATGCGTTGTTTTTAGTATATCACCTATCCTAATTATTTAAAACGAAAATTGAATTTCATTAAGAATACCGATAACCTACAGAAGTTTTACTTCTTGCGCGTGTGCACATTCATACACGCACTCTTTTTATTAGTATTCTTCGTATTCTTCTTCTTCTTGGTCTTTTACGGCTTCTGGATTTTTCGCAATTTTTTTCGAGCAAGTTTCAATAGATTTGTAAAACATTCTAAAACCCAAACTGTGCTATATACTTAACATAACATAAACAAGAAACCTCATATACCATTATCCCGGTCTGGCTAGCTACCGCTACGCTACTATATCCAACCCGACCTAGGCATAGGTATTCCTAGGAGAATATTAAATAAAAAAAGTAGGTAGGCAGTAAAATCGGAACATTTAATATATTAAAAATATAGCTCGGTAGATAAGGGTCGTTGATAAGATGAGTTAGGCTTATGCAGCGATTAATACCCCTCACTGGTCTAGCACTCCCCTGACGTCACTGGCCGCTGCTGGAGACGAGTGCCCGCGCGTCGACCGTCACTGACCACCGCGGGGAAGCAGGTAATTTAAAGGTGAACTTGAAACCCTGTAATGCGCAACAAGCGAAAGCATTACACACTGGCCGTAGACAATGAGCACCCACAACGCTAAATAGGGAAGCACTAAGTATGTAGAAGTGAGAGTGTAGAAGTAACAATTAATGTTACACCATTGCAGGCCGTCGGAGTCTAAGCTGGTGCCGCTGACGTCGCGCGACGTGCTGCCGCCCGCGCGGCAGATCTACCAGCTGCTCAACACGTACACCTTCCACATACCCAAGGCTACTGAGGTATAGTTATATACGTTAAATGCATTTTACCGACTTCAAAAAGCTAGATACACTGTCTAGTCTTTTTATCCGTATTAATATTATAAATGTGAAAATTTGTGAGTATGGATGTTTGTTACTCTTTCACACCAGAACGGCTGAACTGATCTTGATGAAATTTGGCACAGAGATAGATTTAGATTTGAAATAGCACATAGGCTACTTTTTATCCCAGAAAAATATACAGTTTCCGTGGGATAGATTTGTTTTTGATTTCCACTAGAGATGAACCCAAACGAAGCGATGGTGAGTCGGTAGTAAAGTATATTTAAGGGTTGTTTATATATTAATTTAAAGTGATATTAACATGTGTATGTATTTGTGTATGTTTGACGACGCGTTTGGCTCAGTTGGTAGTGACCCTACTTGCTGTTCCAGCGGTCGCGGGTTCGAGTCCCGCAGGGGGCATTCATTTGTGTGATGAGCACGGATACACATCCGTATTTGTAACCGTGGAGTACACACGTACTCCAGTCATGGGTGTTTATATTTATAATATGTATGTATTTAAAGTTATATATGTATAGTGTATCAGCTATCTGGTATCCATAACACAAGCCTCGTTGCTTACCATGGAACTAGATGGCGCTGCGTATTAATTTCCCAACATTTATGTGTCAGGTGTCGCCGATAGTGCCGATGCTGTGTGACATGCTGTACGAGTCGGAGTTCGAGTCACAGATGTGGATGCTGTACAACAGCTGCAAGCAGCTCATACAAGTCGGTGACGCCTACCCCTCTAAGGTACGCGATCTTTTATTTGTACTTTAATTTTTTATCTGGTTTCATGCTCTATTTTTTGAATGTAAGTATACATCGTTTTCAACGTCCCACTGCTGGGGGTGGGCCTCATTCGGGGTCATATTCGTTCTGAACAATGACGTGCGTTTTAACTACTTTGGATTTCCCATATTTTGCACTTTTTAATAATTATTTTCTTAATAATAATTAGAAATTTCATTAAAAAATATTGATATAGGCTTAATTCAAAAGCAATAAAGATTATTATAAAAAATATATTTCACCTTTATTTAGACCCGGGATTTGAACCCGTTCTCAACATTCATCTCTCACTACGTTCCAGTACTCGGCAAAAGTGGAGAAAGGCGAGTACACGCTGCGGCTGTCCGTGCGCCACGAGAGCCGCGCGCTGCTGGAGCGCCTGGCCGAGCTGCCGGTCGCGCTGCAGCAGCGCCTGGCGCAGCCGCTGCCGCTCGACGCCTACTGCTCGCAGCCGCAGGTCACACAGCTTTGTTCTACAATCTATATATCCATACAGCGGGCGAAGAAGCGCTTCAAGCGCTTTATTGTACAATCTAAATATACTGCTGGCAAAGAAGAGCTTCAAGCGCTTTATTGTTCAAAATATATATCCATACTGCGAGTAAAGAAGCGCTTCAAGCGCTTTATTTCACAATCCATAATAATATAAATGCTTTTTGTTAGGGTGAGCCACTAGTCTTATATACTATAAAAAAAATGTTCCTATGCTTGTCCTCTATGTTCTAAACCATTGATCCGATTGTAATGAAATTCTGCTGGGTTATTCTATATACGCCTGCGAAGCTGGCTTGCTGGCGTAAATAATTGTTTTTGGACGTTTGTCTTTTATGCGTTCCTAAACTATTCAAGTTTACGGACGCACTCGAGCGACGCAAGGGTAAATCACTGGTAAGTATATACATATAACTAGTGACACCCTACCTGCACTCGGATGCGTTCTACGGAATGAATTGCTTAGGAACACAGATGACAAACATACAAAAAAAAAATTGTTTATAGAGACTAAAAACCTTCAATTTTTCCAGTGCAACCGGAGGTTAGCAACAGTAGCGTTCATACATACCTATGCGTTACTCCAACCCATAGTCTATATTTAATGCCCTACAAATCCGTTTAGTATTATTAGCGTGAAGAATTAATAAATGCGTGTATATAACACATACAAAAATTCGCATAGATTGTTGTAGTGGTACACTCACTTAATGTTTACTTTGGCATTTATAATATTAGTATTTTAATATAACTTACGTGGGTGTGTGTGTTTTTGTTTGTATGCCTGCGTCGGACCCGAATCCACAAAGAAAATTATATATTTAAGCTGGTAATATCTATATTTTATCTGCAGGCATTAACCGGTGGCAAGAAGTTCACATCGGCGTCGATGGCGAGCGGAGACCTACTACCTCTGTACTTCACGCCTATACCTAGCGATAAGTTAGTTATTAGATTCTAATTTTCTCCTATATACTTTACACAAATAGATTTAATAGGTTACCATATAAAACCTAAAAACTAAACTTCTTTGTTCACATCACAAATTCATCACATATATTATATTCAATTAAAAAAAAAAAACATTTTAATACTGGATTTTGTGAATCTAATATCATTTCAGAAAAAAAGCTTCAAAGAAGAATTAGTGAACGAAACTTGTGGGAGTTTTCTTTTATCTTTTTTTTCCATTACATTGAAGTAGATCACATCATTTTTAAGAATATAAATATTCTTTAATAATTATTCGCAGTATTCTTTTACATAAATATATACTTTATTTCTAACGCAATTCACGTAATATAACACAGGATCAGCAGGTCGTCCCTGGCGGTGGGCGTGACGCTGACGGGCACGGTGACGTTCGCGAAGGACGAGCTCGGGCACAAGGCGGACGTGTACGCGCTGACGCTGGTGCCGTGCGAGGCGCCGCGGCGCGCGCGCGAGCCCGTCCGCCCGCCGCCGCGGCCGCGCGACGACTATGCGGACGCGGTCAAGGACTTCGCGGCCGTGTGGCTGCCCAAGCTGGGTTGGTTCATTTTTTTTTGTTTTGGTTTTGCTTCGGCATGTGGCTAAGGTGTGTGCTTTGAGGTGTTGAATATATTGTGTTTTGAAGTATTGTATTTATGGATGATTAGGCTGAGTTGTTTTTTTTTTTGGAAAATGGCACATGTGTGAGTATTGAAACGGTGAAAATTAAATCAAATCAAAACATGCTTTATTCAAATAGACTTACAAGCACTTTTGAATCGTCACACATTTTTCAATTAAGCATATTAGTGTCTATCTATTCAACCTTTTTTAACGTCCCTCTGCTGGGCACAGGCTTCCCTTCAATACGAGGGTGATCATGTCATATTCCACACGCTGGCCAAGTGCGAATTAGCGGACTTCACATGTTTTTCGAAAACTTGTTAGGTTCTCTCAGACATGCAGGTTTCCTCTCAATGTTTCCTTCGCCGTAAAACAAGTGGTAATCATGTTAGAAATTATTCGCACATGAAAATGTCAGAGATGCGAGACCCAGGATTTCAAACTGCTTCAATCGGTTTCTCAAGCAAGCGCGTTACCACTGGGCTTACTTCAATTGTAGGAGTCGTAAAGTATAAATTATCCCCGGATTGAATTAGTCGCGATATTCTATCCAATAATATCTAAAAACTTAAATATATTTATTTCAATTGCTTACTTATATAAAATTCTTACAAGCTGAGCATGTTATGACTAAACATGCTTAAACCTAAACACGCAGATAATATTATAAAAAAAATAATCAAATAATGATTATAAACTGTATTGTTTCAGAGGGTGAAAAGCTTGAGCAGGTGTATGAGGAAATATTAGAGAAGTTCCCGAACTACCTCGGCGCGCATGTCGCGTATCTGCACGCTATTGACTCGCCGACTGATCCCAAAAAGTAATATCATATTAATATTATATAAACATCCATACAGTTGTTTAATAAAGCCGTCTGGATAAATCGCCGTCTCAGTGCTTATTTGTTAAAAGAACCAATTTATCCAAAGAGTTTTTATTTTTAACACAGAAATTATTGACTTTTAAATGTCAATTCTATTGGTTTAAAGTAAAATACACGTTTTAATATAAAAAAGCTTAAAAGATGTATTTTATCAATATGTGTATATAAACCTTAAATAAACATTTGCTTTTGAAATAGAGGAAAAAGGACAGCAAGTAAATATATAAGTATAAATTTTGAACAAATATGCACTGAGACGACGAGAACAATAGTGCGACGCGTGGATGAGGCGCTCCCGACTTTCATACATTAGTTCGTATGACACTCGGGAATAGGGTTGATCTTATAATATTAAATGAGCAATTCTTTTATATATATATATATATATATATATATATATATATATATATATATGTATAAATTTGTATCGTGTATCTTTAACGCCTCTATCGGTTCACCCAGTTATTTATACATAATTTATATACTTGCAATTTTCCACGAAGTGACAATTTATCGCTTAAGTTGGTATCCGTTCATCATGAAAATGATTTGTAAGCATCTACCGATAAAATCAAAGGCGATATACTACTGTATGGATTTTGTTGTACCGTGGTAATATAATAAATACAAAACTATGAATGTCCTTGTTACTTCTTCACTCTGTAACGGATTTGAGCGGAATTTGGAATAAAGATATATTTCACAGTTACATATACGTGTTAAAACTATTATAATAATAATCTTTTTTTTTTTAAATTGCCTAGTTACTAATTCCGCGAGAGTTAAATCACTTTGCCGTGTTAAAATAAATATTTTTTAAGTATGTATTTACATACAATGGGACTTAAACGCCTGAAAGGATTAGAGTAAAATTTAGTACACAAATACATAGACTATGACAATATGCTACTCTTAGTTATAAAAACTTGCCAATAGGTGGCGCTACCTGTACATAATAGAATAAATACAAAAAAACACCCAGGGATATGCAAAAGAAAATCGAGTGTAGGACGTTAGTGTAATATTAACTGTTAGTTAATATAGTAATATAATTTCAGATTACCCAACGTGAACGAGGACCCCGACGTCACGACCGCGTGGTGCGAGCAGCTCATCGCCATATCGGATAAGGTATGTTGAATTTTTAACTTAATAATAATTCATATTATACTAGCGACTCGCCCTCGCTTGCTCGGTTTCGTCCCTTGTGAAAAACAAAAACATCTATCCCACGGGAACCGTACATTTTTCCGGGATAAAAAGTAACCTATGTGTTATTCGTGAGTTATATTCCATCTTTGTGCAAAATTTCATCCACATCCGTTCAGCCGTTTTGGCGTGATTGAGTAACAAACATCCATTCAAACTTTCACATTTATAATATTAATGGGATAGGATGAATAAAAGACCGTAAATCTATTGAAAGCCTTTTGAAGTAGTATTAAAAGTCCGAAAATGCAAATGTTTTTTTAATTAAACCCTACTTTGATTTATAAATTAATTAAAATAATTTTTAAATAGGTCCATTGTCCAATGTCAACGTTTTTATAGTTAATACTTTCTTAGATTTAAGCGAATATTTGACATTTTAAATAAAACTATCTTTTCGGATTTTTACGCGTATTTATTTTGATTTTTGGTTCCCGACGAAAACTTATTAGAAGTATAAAAATGTTTAAAATTAAAATTAACGAATATTGTAAGGCACTTTGTGGGCAGTCTGTCTGTAAAAACTATATAATACCTATATAAAACCTTGGTCTCTCCCGTGACCATGATTTCTGTAAAGCATTCGAAAAGTCGGGAACCAAAAATCAAAATATATAAAGATCCGATAAATTAATTTTATTTAAGATATTTTAATAGTTTTTACAATTTGGATAAAGTGAAAAGTTTGAAAGTTGATATTTTCGTTACAGGTTATAAAACAAATAGATCAAGATAAGCTGTTGGCGTATTTAGGGATGAAGAATGACACTCGCAGCGATGCGAATAAAATAAAACAGTTTGTAACATTTTTTTACCGTGTTTTTAATATTATCTTTTAAGTTTATTAGTAGTTTTAAAGTTTATTGAATACGAACAAATAAATAAACAGACAGACAAACAGATAATCGGAGAGATAGATAAATTAACAAAATTTCCTTCTGTAGTAGATAACATTGTATGTTTTTTTAATGTGAGTAGGTATATGAACACCACAGACTTATCTGCGCCTTGATATGAGTTTTAGTTTATCACAGATATTATAGATCTTAATACTCTACTAGTACAAATGCCTCATCCCATACAAAGAAAATAGACAGCGCTAATTCGGGCTATTCTTCGGGTTGTTCTTGTTTGCTTGAACAGATAATAGATGTCGTTGATCGGCAAATAGTCGAATTGTTTGGTATTATAATTTTATATATACGTGTGTATGATATTATGGAATTCAGGCTACGTGAACTGTCATGGCTAGTAGTTTTTTGGTCATTTCTATGTGTGATGCTGACATTTTTGGTCTATGTTATATATATGATTAGACCAAACAGTTATATAGATGGGGTCTATATAAAAATATATATCAAGGTAAAAAATAGTAGCGTGATTTTGTTGTTTATGGTACTATTTCCATTGTTGTCATACAGGTCGTTTATTTTCTTTGACGGGTAAGGGAAATTTTATATGTTATAACATTTTTAAGGAGAAAATGTGAACAATAATGAATTAAAAAATTTAACTATATTCTTTTGTGTTTTTTAAACGTTACTTCTATTTCCTTTAAAAGAGGTTATTGTTATTTTTTAAACATTGTCAAACATGATTGTTTGTCTCGACGTTTAGTTTTCCGTGTATACTATTACTTACCTGAGTGTGTGTGCGCGCAGGGAGCGCGAGAAGCAGAAGACGCAGCTGGTGGAGGCGCTGGCGCGGCGCGGCGCGGCGCTGTGCCGCCTGCGCGCGCTGGCCCGCGGCGCCTCGCGCGAGTCGCTGGCCGGCGCGCTCGCCGCCAACGCCGCCGACCTGCTCAAGTTCACCGACTTCGCCGACGCCAAGGTGACCGCCCACCGCCCCACCGCCCCGCTACACCACTACACTGTCACCGCGGTGCACAGAGAACCTAGCGAGTTGTCGAGAGACATGTTAAGTCCGCCTGCGCTCGGCCGGCGTGGTGGACTACTGGCCTGAGCCCGGCTGTGCGACGTTAAAAAGGGCTGAATACGACTATATCACTGTAACCTTCATACACTATATGAATAGCAGATAACTGTACTGGCAGTTTTTTAAATAAGCATTTTTTCTTCTTGACTTTGTTATTTTTTTGTTTTTAATGTTAGTAAAGCATTCAAGCTTTAGAACAAATGTGGTCACAAAAAGAGACATTGACCTGTACATACATGAATCAATATTTTTATAATAATTTAAATTATATAAAACTTTTTTTTCGGGGTTTTTTGTTAAAAAAAAGATAAAAGAAACCAAAATAAAATAATATTCATAATGTTGCATTCATACTAAATAGTATTATTTTTTTTACTAATATAATGTTTTCGTACTTTGTATGTTTTTATTGTAATTCGGAATGAAGATAATTAAAAAAAATCCATCACATATTAATTAATAATTCCATATATTTAAGCATCATGTTATCGACATAACATAGACATCGAAAAAACAACACAAGTATTCTTTTATCGATATCTACAAAATTATACCAATATAACAAAGTTTCATACGTAACTAAAATCCCACAGGCAATCCACTACGGCGTGTGGCACTGCTTCAGCCTGGAACACTGGGGGAAGGCCATCAAGCTCCTCATCAAGATCCTCGAGGAGAGACCATCCAAGGAGGTGGAGGAACGCCTCATACAAGCCTACCGACAGCTCGGCTGGGAGTTCCTCGCCACCACCACGACAGCCTCCCTCCCACTCAAATATCCAAACACATACAGACCATTCTGATTTTGATTATATATTCACAAATTATATATATGTCGCAGGTAAATTGTAAGAACTGTAAGATCTATAAAGTAATTAATGCCTTGACAATATAATTACAATGAAATTAAATAAACAAATGTGTTTGCGGGCACGCTTCAATGTTTAAGTTTTTGGTTTTCAAAATGTCCGATTAGTGGATCGACCAATCAAAACGGAGCAAGGCTTCCCATATCCAAGTATTGCTACTATTGACAATTTAACTAGGCTAATTACAATATCGCTGAACGTGACTATTGACGAAATTCCGGGAAATTATAATTTCACCAGTGAGATTATAATAACGGTTTTTACAGTTCCCTGCGACATATATATTTATAGCTATAATGTATGTTGTGACGTGAAGTTGCTATTTAGCAGAGCATTAAGTAGTAGGGTACATACATATATATTATATATATATATAGTTTCTTATATGTTCTTCGTATGATTTAAATGTGTGGAAAGCACTTTCGATTGACCAATTCGTTTTTTTTTTCAAGTTAAAATAGGTTTTTTTATATATATATATGTATGTTATAGTCGGTGAATTCTCTTTTGATTTTATATTAATTGATTATAGGATAAAAAAATTAAATTCGGTTATTTTATTTAATTAGCAGAGCGGGTTCTACTCCGGTTCTGCTTCTGGTTCGGCTTCGCTCGTGCTAAAACTACAAAAAAAATCTTTGGCTTTGTGCAAAAGGCATTTTTGAAATGGACTCAGTAGTTTCTGAACTTGAAGCACTTAAACATATTATAAACATAAATTTTTCAAAATGGCTCATTTAATATTTTTAATTTATTAGTTTAAATGAAGTATGTATTATATTAAGGAAAACATGATTTTAGACAATCGAATTGGTTATTCGAACGTCGCTTGCATGTTTTGGCTTGCATCGTCAATTATCGGTGAAATTACACACTGTTGTATTTAATTGTGTCATGAATACTAATTTAATTACGTAAATTCTGTAAAAAATCCTATGTGAAAGTTTGAAAAGCGTTGACTGAGAGTATTATAAGTTAAATGTTATAATAAAGCTTAGTTATTAGCTATATTAACAAATAAAACAGTGTTTACATACGTAATATTTGATATGAAGTCCAATGATGACCGGAATATTTGAAAAAGAAATAAAGAATATATACTATAATGAAATATTTATCAGTTACCATTGAGCATAAAAGAAAAGAGCGGTCACTGTATATAAAACTGTCCGTCAAAACGCGTCCAATAAGGGTGACGTCTCCGTAATTCGTCTCATCGTCTCCTCCAAAACACGCCCACTACGGGACATAGGCCTCCCCCAAAAAGTTTCCACGACAACCTGTCTTGTGCTACCCGTATCCAGGGCTCCAGCGATTTTGACCAAGCCATCGGTCCACCTTGTAGGAGGTGTGCCCACACTTCGTCTAGAACAGCTGAATCTATATTGTAGCTGTCGTAGTTTTTCGTACGTCAGCGCCATCTATATTGGACACTCCGTCTACAGCAGATAAATTCATATCGTACTTTTTCATACGCCAACACCTTCTTTTTTCAGCATATAGGTTTACACTTTTTCAACTTGTCTCCATCGATCAAAAATGTACTAGCCGAGAATATTTTAAGATATGAACATCTAATAGGTAATTTTTAACGTATCGATTTATTTTACGTATCGCAATATATTAAATTTGGCACCGACTTCGAAAATATCTGATTAGGTATCTATTCTAAATGAAAACCTCCGTTTAGTTATTTTTTAAATTCTAGTGCCTGGAAGTCGGTTTTTTTTTAAGTTTTTATTGATCGATGCATGTCTCCCTTATAAGTGACTCCTAATTTCTATGCTCTATCTCAGTTACTTAATGAAGTTGTATGAAAACGTGTTTTTTTTATTTGTATTTATTTTAAATAATGAAATTATGCCTAAAAAGCTTTCCAGAACTTTCTTTACAAGCCAGAAATAAGATTTGAATCGATTCAAAAGAAATTCTTTATTATAATATTAATTTAAAGATTTTTTTTATTAATTGAAATCGATTCGAAATTATCATACATAGTGAAGTTACATGAAAACGTGACAAAATTAAAATTATGCCTAAAATGATTTTTAGAATCTTCTGTATAAGTCACTCAAACATCTAGCTGGTCTGTTGTTGGGATCCAAATAGGTTTCCTCAATAAGACAATAAGTGAACCTATCAGAGTTTAATTACATTTTTTGTCCAATTTCAGACAGATTGGAGATATATAGTTTGGTGTTATGTTTTTATTTTATGTATGTATATTGTATTTTTGTATATGTTACATGATATCTTCGCAAATTATCAACTGGTTTTTTTTAGTTTACACTTATTTTTAATTTTATATGTTGACGAATACATACATGGGTGCTCAGAGCGTGCTCAAAGTCTAGATCAATATTTTTTTTTATTGTATTTTTTTTTATTTTTAGATTAATAGATAATAAACTAATTGAATTTTGATACTTGAAATTGTCTATAACCACATATTACTTTTTCAAAAAAATACATTTTTTGTTTTTGCATTTCTAATGCATTTTTCGTTCTTTTTTTACCTCATAATTAGATATTTCAAGTATGAAAACTGAAATTTCAAAGCAATACAGTACATAGTGAGTGCATATAGAATAAATATATTGTTAAGTTTAGTCGACCGACTGTACGTTTGTATGAATGTTTTTTTATTAAAAAAAATAAAAATACAAATAGAAATGGAAAATACCATTTGCTACATTATCTGTGGTACGCATCCACTACGAATTGCAAGTATATGTATTATATAATGTATGCTATATCAATCTAAATTGTGACAAACAAAATGGCGTCAAACTAAATTATCATCTAACACAGTTCCAGTTTCATATGTAATTAATTATATGTGTATAAAAGTACTGATATTTCTAAATAATCAGCATTCAAACAAAAAAAAACCGCATCAAAATTGGTCCATCCATTTAGGAGCTACGATGCCACAATCAAACACACAGACGGACACGTCAAACTTTAAACTCCCCTCTTTTTCGAGAGTTAAAAAGCACATATCCATTTACATTAATAATGGAACAAGAAAAATAAGGAAGCTTCAACACATTAATAGTTTCATTCGTTCTTTAATGTATTCAATCGTTCATTCATTGATTAAATACATAATTTATTATTATTATTATAGTAACATGAAAAATGTCTCGTTTTTAACTTTGATTTGAAGATAATATAGCACACCATAAAGATGCCTTTATTTATACACATATACAATTAGCAAGTTGGTTTGTTGCATGAAATAGAGTATAGATTTATATAACAATCAAGCAAAGTAAGATAAAATGGCATTAGCGTAACTTAGAATAACTTTTATACCTTACTTCACATCTTTGATAGTACAAAGTATGAGGTCTCGGAAAAAATGGCCTACTGGAATCATATATTTATTCGTAAAAAGACGTTTTTTTTTTTAATAATTATAGAAATTATTGTAAATCCAAATAAATTCAAATTTAATTTTTTCTTTAATAAATTTTCAAATAATTTGTATTAACATTCGCTGGTTTTAGTTTATAGTCTAAGAGCTAAAGTTAAAAAACACTATTTAGTAAAGATTCTTAGGATATTGTATCAATTTTTTTTATTAAATAAAACTATCTTTTCGGATTATTTCGCGATTCGAATTATTTTAACTTTAAACATTTTTATAATATTTATAAAAATATTAATAAAAATGTTTAAAGTTAAAAAATATTGTGATGTAATTGGTGCAATTTTCATTTTGTTGATTGTGGGTAGGCTGTCTGTAACAACTATATCTTTAAGACATGTAACACCTCAGTCTCTCCCGTGACCATGGATGCTGTAAAGCATTCGAAACGTCGGGAACCAAAAATCAAAATAAATCCGCGAAATAATCCGAAAAGATAGTTTTATTTAATAATGTCAAACATTCGCGTAAATCTAAGAAAGTATTATATTCAATTTTTTTTATCAAATCAAGAATCAAGCGCGGATACGTTCCTCAAAAAAGGTTGTGGTCACAGCCACCCGAAAAATGGCTAAGTCCGTAACGAAGTATTTAAAATAGTGATGGCAACCCCCGACGGATATGCTTGAGTTTATCTCGCGTTACATTTATTTAAGTCGAGGGTTTTTAAATTATTTTATCCTTTTCAATTACTTTTTAACCGTCGTGGTTTTTTTTTTAATTTTTAATTTTGCTTTTTATTAAGGCATTGGATATAACATTAGTCTGTCGAACTTAATTAGGGTTGTGGGCATACCCACCGTGCTCATAACTAGGGCTGCCAGTAAAGACAACTGCTGCCAGTAGAGCCAACTTATTTTATACCGCTGGCTCACTCAAATTGTACCAAATCAAATTTTATTATACAAATTAACAAAGCTATAGATAAATAGTCTGTGACGAATAAAAAATTTCAATAAACATACGTAATAACTTAAAATGATATATACATAAAATAACCATAGATTAAAATTTTCGTATCCAATTTATACGTCTGGCAGCCCTGCTCTTAACGGTGAATCCGCGCTTGAATCGAATGTAAATTTAAAAATTAAATGTGCTTTTTGACGTTTATTACATAAATATTTAAGATCAAATTCAGAATTCTCAACGAGTGGAGTTTAAAGTTTTAAATAGCATTATGCAAAATTATAAATATTAATGTAATCAAGAACATTTTTTCATTTTTCATATATATTAAAAGAGTCGTTGTCATTTAATTTGATTATAATTTGAAACCTTGTACTGTTAAAGATGTCTAGTAGATCAGCAAGTGTAAAGGTCGGTCGGTCGTCAGGCTTCGCTGGTTGTACGCAAGCTTCGTGATCATGATTAGATGTTATAAATGAATTGTTAATTAAGATGAATAAATTGTGACAATTTTGTTTGTTTTTATTTTTTAATATGAAACCTTATTTATTTGTTTATATTTTATTTATAGATTCATTCTCCATGCACA